TAGCATACTTAGTGAGTTCTCTGAAGATAATATTCTGAAAACTCTGTTTGACAGCAAGAAAGGTCCCATTGAAATTTGTAAAATGGCAGAATACCCTCACCTTCGTGAACATGCATGCCAACTTCTTTTATGTTTTTCTTTAACATACAGTTGTGAATCCACATTCTCGTACTTGATACAAATCAATAATTCATTAAAAACACTGTTGACTGATGACTATTTGGAAAACCAATTAAAACTAAAAACCACTATATTAGATCCTGATATCAAAATGAACCCCAAATGAAGCAATGTCAAAGTCATTAATTTGTCTAAAAGGTGAATAAAATATTTGTTTGAATATGTCTTGTTTTTCAGTTTTATAATGCTTGTTTTAATTAAATTATATATCTATTAAATTTCATTTTACATTATTATTTTTCTAAGATATAAAATGTGTAACTGTAAAAAAATTACTTTGTGAATGTGGCTTCTATGAGGGACAATAAATTTCAATGTGGCCTACAAGTACAAAAAGGTTCCCTGCCCCTGCTCTTGTACTTTGCCAAAATAAAATAGAAGGCTAATAGGCCAAAAGTTAGAAAAGATCAGACAATTCACCTGAGATCTTAAAGACTGGAACTACAGAAGAGAATTTCCAACAAGCAGGACATCCAGAAGAAGCCAGGCACTTCTTGTAGACTTTAGAGAGAACAGGAGCACATTTCTTAAGTACTATTGCAGGGATACCATCAAGTGCACATGCTTTGAGGGGATCCAGTTTAGATATGATAGTAGAAAAGTCATGGGAGGTGGCTACTAGGACAATATATAAAAGCAACCTATGCAGTTCATGGATGTTATTAAATAATTCTTACATCATTCCTGAATAGTACTCAAGAGTAACCAATGACAGCTATCTATAATCTATGACACTTAGCTTGAAGAGATATAGACTATTGGCAATTATTAAACAGAAGTAAAGGTTTTTACACTTCTAATAACACAACAGTAGAATAAAATAGAAACATTAGCCAAAAATTGATAATGGGTGATAAATTGTATTTGCATCTTTCTGTCAGTTCTGTTTATCTATTTAAAAAGATATTGAGGAATGTAAAAAATGTCACCAATTAGAATATATAATGAGGTTCAATAATTTACTTGGTAAATACCCATGTATATTTTTGTTTGTTTTCTTAATTGTATAAGGATCGTTTTAAAAAGAAATTAAGTCTTTTGTGAACAGTTATTTTTGTTTTGTTTTGTCATATAAATTTAATACAAACATTTCCTACCCACTTACATAAAAACGGTGAGAGTGATTGAACATATTAATTTCTATCTATGGCAATATTAATTTCTGCATTCTCACTGAAATTAAGCAATATTCTGCCTTGCAAGTAAAAAAATTGATGACAATTTTAAATATTGTAGTTGGCTGAAAATAAAACTTGATCCTGGCTATCTATTCATATGATCAGTTCATTAATCTTCATCCCATGAAAAATGAAATAGTTAAAACAAAAACAGTATTACGAATAGAACATCTTCCAATGTAAGCCAAGACAGATCAGGTTAGATTACATTATACTAAATATTTAATATGTTCTAGAAACTTACTTTGTATTAACATCAAGCATTAAAATTGTATCTGTTTAGAAAATAAATTTTTGCAATTTCTAAATAAATTTCACATTCTACAAATCAATAGTATATTTCTTTGTACCCAGATATATAATTCTTATAGAACAACTAATATTGTAGAAAATATCTGGAAATAAGGAAGATGGTAGACAATCTCTGGAAATAAGAACAACAACAGATAATATCTGGTAATGTACTCAAAATATGCTTTGCAAGCTACACCACAAAGTATTCATACATTTTCTTTTAAACAATAAGGAATGATCACATGTTGAAGAAAAATAAATGAAAAAGAAAGGAAAAGAAAAATTTACAGAAAAACTGGTTAAAATTTATTCGAATTCTTATGTTGAGATTTCCTCACCTTGAAAACAGCTTTTTGGTTAAATTTGTGGATCACAAAAGAATCTCATCGCTACATTCCTTCATCTCATCATCAGTTTGATGATGCTCAGAGTCAGTATTTATTTCTCACTTTACTGTTCTTCCAACTTATATATTTATTATAATATAAATTTGCCTCCTGATTGATCAATTTTTTTTATGGCTTATCAAACTGATGTTACAGCAACAATCTCTGGATCAATGCAGCAGCCTTGGAATGGTTTATTACACAAAACAAGAGGAAAATCAAAACAAGATAAGTGCTTCCATATATGCAACACAAGCAGTTAATGATCTGAATGTCTATGCTCTTGATACCATGTTAGTGTAAATTAGAATCTTGCTGGATTGTCAAAAACTAATGCAAAAGAAACCAAAATTGAACCCCTAAAGAACTCTTGTTATCAAATATATATACTGGTAATTTTATTTCTGGATCCAATGAATGAATTTATTAAAGACTTGCCATTTTTGAGTCTGAAAGGAATGTCTTCAAAAATTACATTCATTCGACATTCAATGACAGCACATTCAGATGAAACAGTAAACCCTATACCTGCAAGAAATCACGTATTTAAACATTAACATTCTGGAGGTGATTTTGTTTTCAAAACAAAAAATTTATTCTGCTACTGCAAGTGACTTTGATGAATGAGGGATAGCGGGTTTGAATTTTGCAGTTGTGTTGTCATATCCTGCTATGGCAACAGAAAATAACCATGAGTGAAATTAAGAAGTAGAGGAGCCTTGAAAAACAATACAGTGGAAAGAAAAGTAGTGTATAATGCAGAGTTTAACATGGCTGATTTCAATTATAAGTTATGTAAACTTCATGTAAACTATTCATCTTCTGTCAGTAAATGAACTGTTGGTAATGCTAATGCCATGGGGAATTACTTGGAATGTGTGAAACAATAATTAATTGGATTCTTAGTCATACTTTGTTGCTGTACCATAAGCTTCTTACCTTGACTTCCTCTCGTTGAGGAAAAAAATTAAATAGATTTCATTCTGATACACCATCTTCCTGTTCCCCAACAAAGCCTTGATAGCAATGCTCTCAGAATTCCAAACATAGGATGATAAAAACCAGGCATAAAATGAGATTTATTTAGCCATAGAAAGGGAACAATATACCTACATATGACCTTGTAAAGCTTAATATACCAAAGAATAGTTATCCTATTAAAAAAAAATATAGTATAATTGTTTTCTATAAATATATTAAAAGGGTGTATTTTTCAATAACAAAAAAAAAAAAAAAAATGGGTGTATTTTTCAATAAAAAAATTAATGGATTTATTTTTTTCTATATAAAAAACAACATAGAGTATAGTCCTCTATAATAAAAAACAATTTAGAGTGTAATTTCTATAAAGAATAACTAAATAATCCCATTAAAATTTCCCTCTCTTCTTTCCACCCTTCTTAGTCAGCAAGTTTTACTTTCAACACAAGATGTGGCTCAGGATGCATTGTAATCATCATTACTCTACGATAAGTAACATCTGGAAGAGGTAAAAATTCAAATTTATCGATCAGTAAAGCCACAACAGTCTTCATTTCCATCATTGCAAATTTGTGTCCAATACACATCCGGCTTCCCGCAATGAATGGTATGAAGGAATACGGATAAATGTTATTCGGATCTTCAAATCTTTCCGGATGAAACTCAAGTGGGTCTTCCCAGTATTTTGGATTCCGATGAAGTGAAATAATGTTAATGTTAACTTCAATTCCTTTTGGAAAATAATATCCCTCAATAGAATTGTCCTCCATTGCTTGCCGAATGACCATTGGAACTGGTGGAAATAAACGTAAAGTCTCTTTGATGACACAGGTGAGATAAGACATTTTCTCCAGATGTTCAGATGTGAATGGCTCTCCCGACTGAGGCAAAATGGAACGAACCTCCTTTCGAACATTGGCCTGGATTTTGGGATACTTTGCTAACTGATGTAAAACCCATGTCATTCCAACACTAGTCGTCTCGTGGCCTGCAAGCATGAATGTTAGAACTTCGTCCCGAATCTGCTTGTCATTGAGTACATCCTGTGAATCTATATACTTTGCCTTCAGGAGATTACACAACAGGTTAGTTGCATCACTGTTCTCAGTGCTTGTTTCCATCTCATGCTGTTTCTTTTCGATCACCGAATAAACTACCTCATTAATCTGTTCCACACGCATCTCAAAATTATTCAGGTATTTTCCACAAACCTTACGCAAAAACGGAAAGATGAACTGCAGGATGTTTATCCATCTCAACTGAAATTCTCCAAGGATTTTTCGGACATTTGTAGTAACCTCACTTCTACAATGCTGTATTGCATAAAAATCATAATCAAAGGCAAATTTTCCAATCACATCAAGAGTCAAATTAGACATCTCTGACATAATGGGGATATCATTATATATTTTATTATCTTTCTCACACTGCATGGCATTAATTTTATTCAGCCACATGTCAATCAGATCCTTTCCTCCCTTTTCAAAAAGGGGAACCATCTTATTCAAAACATTTGGTCTGAAAGAAGTGTTGCAGATCTTACGATTTCGGCTGTGGATCTCACCTTCGGATGTAACTAGCCCATCTCCAAGCAAAGATTTTAGCAGCATATATGCCAGCTTGGATTTCTGATAGATCTTGCTTTTATTCACCAAGATGCCTTTAATAACATCGGCATCACACACCATAACTCGATCACTACCAAATAACCAATAGTATCGGTATACAGACGCTTTCAAATTCTTCATCCAGCGTTCACCAAACTCTCCAGCTTCACAACGTATAAGTTCAGGCACAGATCCCAGAATTGGCACAAAAGGAACACTTGGAAGATAGTTTAAAGGAGAAAAATAAAAGCGTATAAACTGAGAGTAGATTATATACAAAACCAAGGTAATGATCATAAGTTGCAGAACTGTTGACCATGTAAGCAAAATGGAGGCAGCATGGTAGAAGTTGATAACATTTTGCAAAAGTTCACCCAGCATCATTTTCAAAAAGAATGAGTCTGAAAAATACAAAAGCAGAATTTTATCTTTTCAATCAATTAAATAGAAAAAACTGACAGAAAATATATGAGAGAGATACATTAAGCATAAGTCTAGAAATATTATACTGGAACAGACAAAGTACCAAAATTTCTTGCCAAACCATTTTCTTTTTAATCATTTGACCCAAAGGAATCATCTTGGATAAACTACATCCAGCAGTAAGGCTTTTGATCAGGAGATTGTGAGAAGGATGGAACCACCTCTTAATTGCTGTTGTTCCCAGGTCCACCTTGATCTGAGGTGGTAGCACCTGTTAGGGTCCCAGTTATGAGCAAATAGTGAACCTAATCCCAAAACTCAGATCAAAACATGAAAGTATAAAAACACATCTTCATAGTTGGAAAAAAATTCCAGCAATAGATTTTAATAGTAAAAAAAAAAATAAAAAAAAAAACAAAGATTCCAGCTAAGTATTGGTAAGTGATAAGTAATTTTACATTTAAACAGGAATTTCCATCATTGTGCTTCCACAGCTCAGCTACGGATGATGGGAATTGTTTGCATGACTGACTGACTGAGAGTAACTGATGAAATATTGGAGTGAATAAAGTGATAAGTAATAAAGATTCAAGTCTTGTGTTGTCATTTAAACAGCACCCCTGCTTTATTACAATTTTTACAGTTAAACAAAAAAAATAAAAAATTACAATTAAAAACAGCTTAATAACTAAGAGCTATTTTTTTCTTCCAAAGATAAAATAAATACTTTATTAAAAATAAAGTTTTTATAAAGAAATAAGTGTTAACACTTTCACAGCTGCATTGTTTATAAATTGTGCTGACCCATTCTGGTAAAAAATAAACAAAAAAAAATGTTATTTACTGGAAATAAGTAACTATAAAGATACTGATGCTACCATTTTGGTTTTGGTTGGATACTCAGTAATAGACTAATCTAAACAATCTCCCAAACATAAATTATAAAAATAGGTCACAAAACAAGCCCTCTTGTATGCTACAATATATCTATGTTGGTTTGAAAATATCACTAACTACTAGTTAGTTTATAATACAAACTCTAGGAACCAGCATTTCATGGTGTTCTGAATATATATATATATATATATATACACACACTGTAGTGATACTAAATAAACACAGAGAACTGGATGTTAAAGATAAGATGTTCAAAGAAATAATGTTATAACTGGTTTGTATGCATGAGGCTCCATGCATTTGTTCCAGTTAATAATGAATAAATAAGAAATTCTAATAAAAAGTTTTAGTCAGTTAAAAGAATTCACGCCCAAATAAATGAATGATTTCAGCTGCGCCCTTTTGATCCCCAAAACATGTATAAAGAGAAATCTTTTTCAATCAAAACTCAGAGGGGAAAACAGACTCCAAAGGAATCTCAACTCCAGCGACCAATTACCTCTCTCACCTCCTCACATATCAGCCCAAAAAAGACCTCACATCAAGGTCACTTAAGTACTTTTCACAAATTGTAAATTTATCTTAATTCTTTTAACTCATATCTTTAATTGGACATGATTCTGTTTACTTATATATAGATCTTTCAAAGGACATTTACCACTGACTTTAACAATTTATATTTTGAAATAATACTTTTGTTGTTTATAATACTTGATTTATTTTATTTCATTTCATGTCTATTCTGTTGTATGGGTTAATTTATTGAAGGCCTAGACCCCCAACCAAAAAGTATCCCACAATCACCATAATACATCAACACAAAACAATGTTACCTTTATAAAGGTATATAAGTGCATCCACAGAAAAGAAAGTTTTAAAAATCCACAAAAAGCATGAACTTAAAACAATAATTTGCTTTTCAGTGCATTCAGATTTACATACTACATAAAAAAAATCCTGACATCTCCTAAAATCAGTGATTTCTTTTTCCTTCTCCTGTGAGTTTGGATAATGACTCTCACCTGACAAGTAACAATTAATGAATAGCAAATTTAAAAGTATTCATTGAAATACCTGCAAGCATTCATGAAACAGAAACAAAATTATAATCAGTGACTATATGAAGTTCAAGAGACACAGGTATTTTTTATTAAATTAATTTGATTAATATTGGACTTGGAAGCAGATGCTTAAACTTTTTTTTTCAAATGCCTGCAATGAGTAATTTTAATCCATTTAAGGTTTAAGAGACCTGACTAGAATTTTGAAAAATTACTATTTCATTTGAAAGTTTCTAAAAGTAAACAAAGTTTCACAACTGCTATTTCATATAGACAAAAAATTCACATTCTTTTCACACAATTAGACTTGGGATATAATTCTTTTTAACTTACCTTAGTTCCAATGAATAAACAATTAAAACGAAACAGTGTTCATCTTCCCATAAACATGAAACATCAAGTTGAAATGAGAGAACATTTTTTCATAATAAAAATAGCACAGATGAGTAAATAACAAAGAAAATTGGCTAAGTATCTTTTAAGTTGCTGCCATTCATTCACTTATTAAAATAAATACATTAAATACATTACTTTTTTTTCAGATGGAAAATTTTTTTTTCTCTGTACAACCTGTGATTTACTATGCTCTTCAAAGCAAATCGACTTAACAAAGCATATCAGAATGCCCAGTGTTACCAGATAAAAAAAAATTATTTGCACTCTTTTAGTAAAGAGTAGGACTAAATATCACATAAAATTATTGATAAAATAAACAAGTATGTCATCATCGAAATATATATTATATTTGGAGAAAGTTTAGTTATATGTGTGTGTATGTGTGCATAGTAGCTTCTGAAACAGAAGTGAAGATGAGACAAAGTGTAAAATCTATAAACACGTTTTGACAAGAGTATTTTCTCCCTTATGTGGGGAAAATAACTAACCATGTACAGGTTAATATTGCAGTGATTGGGAAAACACTCATTTGGGAGTCGGTTCCATAGCGCAGCAGTCCGCAGGAAGAAGCTGCATTAGTGGAAGTTACATCTCACAAATGGAATATAAAGGAAATGAAAGTGGTTTGCTACAATGTGCGTACCATGGTGGGTCTTAGTTGTGAAAGTTAGAAATGGTGGAAGTAAGGAATGTAGTTTGTCTGAGCACTTTCCATGGTAATAGCAATAAAGCAGTGAGAGGCTTGTGACTTTTCATCTGTGAAAAAGTGGCTGTAAGATAAACTGAAAGATAATTTGTCACTCACAAGGGTGCAGGGATGCTTTTGAACTCTATCAAAACTGGAAAATGAAGACTGGGCAGCTCCTGTTGAAATATGGCAGCAGTGCTCCATTTTCGGCCTGAATATACTCTTGTTCAGAAAAACATAAAAGCACAAATATTTGTACGATATTTACATTCCTTTCATTCTAAAGAATTAAAAAAAAATGTAAAAACATTCCTTGTCTCCAGTCTTTAATCAAACCTGTATTATTGAAGGACTGTTCCCTAAATACAGACAATTCTAATAAGCCAAAATAGTGACATGTGATAAGAATAACTTTATTCTCATAACAACTGTGCATATCAGCAGCAGGTCAACAGATAAGATGGCCTTGAGTACTTAATTTTGATGTGATTTTGATAACTTTGATGATAAAGACTGAATTAACAGTCAGAAAATTAGGTCAGACCATTAGTGTGAAAATTGCTCTCTCAAGTAGTTTGTAACACCCTATTTATCATCTTTCAGTTGCGTTTCTGTCTTTGGGAAGATTGCTCTCAAGGATGGCTCCATCAAAGGACAAAATCGCAACTGAGGAAAATTATATTGTGAGGTGACCAGCCCTGGGGGAAACCTTGCTTGGGGCTGCACCCTCTCATTGCACCAGAGAGAGGGATCAGTGCTCAGACCAAGGCCAGCACAACCAATGGTTGCAGGGATTGCGGGTAACTTTTGTTCTTAGCCCAGGAGTACGCGCTCGGGCTACCAACATTAAACCAACCTTGTATCACATCCTGACCTTGTGTGTGTGTGGGGGGAGGTTAAATACAAATTAGGTCAGACCACTTCCAAAGCAGCAAGCCTAAAGGGAATGCTCGAGTTCATTTGTGGTGAATACCCATTAGGAATAAGTGCCTCAGCATTGGTTAGCAGCTAACAAGGCTAATCTAGTTTATCATTACTACTGAGCAGTGAATTTGATCTTCACTAGGGATCTCCATACAAATTTCAACATTTTAAAAAAAAAAATCAATTTCTCTCTGAATGTCTGGGATGAGAAGTTATCATTATTTACCGTTAGACTAATTCCCACCATCCATACAGCATAAAGCTATCTACAACATTGGAGCAAAAATAAGTGACAACCCAGATACAAAACATCAAATATACCTTTCAGAATAACAACTACTCAGATAATTAAATTTCAGCACTTGCTTGATTTTGACACCCCCAATATATAGCTTACATCTTAGAAAAACTCTTTTGTTGACAACCATCTTTTCCTAGACCATGCCCTGCATATATATATAGTCACAGCTGTGAAGAAATGGGCAGTGATCATTTAAGTATTCCATACCACATCACAAACAAATCTAATATAAAACAGTGTTTCTGCTTTCCCTTCTGGGGCTAATGTATTGATGACTTACTTGTTGCAGTATTTTCCTGGATTCAGTTGAGTCAGCTCCATCAAACAAATTTGCCAATGTGCAAATTCATAGTAAGTGTTTCAGTGAGAATTTGGATTCACAAGTGGCCCTCCGCCACATGTATATAAACTTTCCTAAACAAGTTACCCTGATCGAGCCCAACCTACTCAAGCTGGTTTGAATTCAATTTCTTTCTAGAGTGGTTGCCATCTAGGGCTATAGGACCCAGTCTGTCCTGCTATTTACCCATAGCTGGGGGATTCATACCTTTCCTAAGGGTCTTAGCATGTAAATGAATGTAATGACTTGAATGGAATTCAAGCATGGCTCTCCAGTTGCTTAATCTGAGCTGCTAACCATGGTTCTCTAATGTATTGATAAGGAGAGACAGCTATGCTGATGACAGATATTCACAGTGAGGATAAGATTGATCTTGAACAAAAATAAGAAATCATCCTCTATCAAGTGTTCCAAGAAATAGGATTCAAGATAAACCTTTCCAAAACAAACTAGGATCTGGAATTGGAGTTTAACAATGTCACATACACTGAATCCATCATAAATATTCAGGCTCTGGAATCAGTGAATATTAAACACTTCAAATACCTCAGTGTACAGATCACTTATCACAAATGTAGTAAAGGAGAAAAGGAAATTGAATATAAAATAGGCTGTGCTAGTAGTAGCTTTGCCTAACATTGCATATTGCTGCAAAACCAAAACGTTAACCTAAAACTTTAGTCATTGTTCATTGCTGCTAAAGCAAAAACAGGACAAGAATGCTGAGTCATGTATCCACCCTGACTGCTTATAAGAACCTTTTCATTCATGATTGGTTCCAATGTTTAAATTTTAATTTTACATTTAGGGATTTTGTTTTGTGATGCTCGGAGTCCCTCTGCAGAAAGTTACTACTTTTTATTTAGGTACTTCCACGAAATCACTAAAAAAACAACAGCATACCATGACAAAAACATGTTCCAAAGGTAATGAAAACATCTTCAAAACATCATCAAAATCTTTGCTAAGAGGAAAGATCAAAATGTTTTTTAATATTTAATGAAATGTTTTACTCCTCTTTAGAACATTTGAAATTTTTGATTCAATTTCAATTCATTTTTTTTTGCAATTGTATGAAAACTTGAGAAATTCAATGGGATAATTTTTTTAGTGACTATATTAGTTAAAAGCAGAATTCTTTGAAGAACTTAAATAACTGATGTTTTTTTGTTTTTGTTTTTTTTTTTTTTTGCAAATTCGAACCCTGACTTACAAAAAATCTGTTTTGCATTGAAAAATAAAAAACAATAAAATTAAGACATTATTTAATTAGAGGAGCTTTTAATTGCTTTTTTATGAATAATACAGTGTAACCCGGATATAAGAGAGTTGTCGGGACCGGAGAAGAAGTCTCTTATATCCAGGTTTGGTCTATTTTATATACATTAACACAGGCTCTAATTTGGGGCCAGAGAAAATCTCTCTTATATCCGGGTTACACTGTATAAAGACAATACTGACTGAAGAAAAAGTTGTTTTCATTTTTTTAACAGTTTCAAATTGAATAATTTATATAAGTTTTTTAAATATTTTAAAATTCATTTTCTATGAGATAACTCTTAGGAAATATTATTAAGTAAAACAGAAAACTATTACAAAGCTTACGACAATTTGACGATTTTTTAAAATTTCGATTTGTTTTTTATGAACAAAATTTTTACGTGTGTGTACAAACCTAACATTATCGTTAAAAGGTCACATGTTTTAAGGGCTGTTTCCCCCTTTTGCAGTAAAAAAAAAAAAAAAAAAAAAAAAAAAACACGCATATAAACTTTGTCATCTGCTCCACCATTTAACTATGAACGTTTGGCGGTCATTCGGCTGTCAATAAATCGTAATTAAGAAATGCTTACAACAATGTTTTATGCTAAAAGTAATCTTTGTTTTAAATCAGATTAATTTAACTTTAAATTTGCTAATTTTTTGTTTCAGAAATATTTTATTTTTGATGACGAGAATTTAATTTTGTTTAATTTACAAATATGTTTCATTTTTATTTTATCCATTTTAATTTTACTAAAGAAAAAAAAATCGATTCCAATTTTTATTTGAAATACACCAGAGTATTTTGTTTACTGGAAATAGTAGATTTTAAAATAAATACTTTAAATTTCAATTAAAACTAAAATGAAAGCTTTTTCATTTTTTTACCGAATTAGTGAAGGTACCTACTTTTATTTTTTATTTTGCCTTCGTAGCGTTCACATAGTGCCCGACGTGTTTTGAAGTGGAATGAATTAAAAAAAAAGATGAAGATCGAATTTGAAGCTGAGTAGGAACAAAGAAAAAAAATAAGTAACTTTCATTTTTCACTAAGGTTTCTTGTTAGATGAAAATACAGTGATGATTAGAAAAAATAAAAAAACATTTTTTTTTTACGTCTTAAAAAATTATTTTCTCTCACATTTGGCATTTTAGCGTACTAATTAAAAAATAAAATGAAACCATTTCATGCAACACATTTTATTTTGGTCAACTCACGCCCAAATCGAAAAGTAACATTCCTATTTTATTTAGAAAAATCAAGAATTGTTTTCATTTTACGAAGTGTAATATTAATAAAACTGGAATATAGTAAACAAAAAATATATGTCTGGCGTGTCAAATCCCTTAGTCCATAGTTGAAAAAAAAAATAGAAAAAGATATTTTCTTCCGGTATGGAAAGTGCAACATTGAAATCTGAACGTGTGTAAATTATGTATTCCACAAAGTTAAACAAAGTATCATATTAAAAAAGGAATATTTCGTTAAAAACCCGAAAATAATTTTTAACGTCATATCATCCACTTCTTCTAGTTTGCTCCTCATCTGTGGGGAGATTGTCCAGCATTCACTGCCCTACAAGAGTGGCAACAACAAATACTTTGTTTTTTTCCTCTTAATAATAAACATTTTGACGATAAAATTTTGTTTTCGTCAAGTTTGGCGTCTTTTTCATCGTGTTCTTTTTTTATGCTCTTGTTTTAGCGATCTCATCGAGGTACCTACACTAACAAAAATGTGGTTCTACCGAAGGATACTTAGAATTCCATGGACGGAGCGAGTAAGCAACAAGTCTTAAAGAAAATGCTAACAAGAACAATGCGAAAAGGACATCAGAAAATTCTTGGATACATAATGTATTGTAAAGTAATGAGGAAAGAGGGCTCACGGAGTATACTGTGGGTAAGAGAGATAGGGGAAGGCAGCGAGCCACCTACCTGACGAGTTTGATGTAAATTAGAGATGATGGGACGGTAGGCTTGGCAAAGGGAGAAACGCTGCTATGGGTCACGTACGAGAGAAGAAAGCAAGTTGTGTCGAGCGAGCCATGGACGCCTACATAGCGGACGGACGCGTCACATAGGACACACATCCGTAAATAATTTTTATTATCAGTATTTTTCAGATTTTAAATATTGTTTTTTTTTTTTTTTTAATCTGTTACAGTACACAGAAGGCCATCATAGCCTTGATTACGACGCTTTTTAATATTGTTTTTCTCTCTTTTCTTACGACGCTTTTTAATTTTGTTTGTATTTTTACGACGTTATATAACAGATAACTCTTGTAAAGGGTTTTACCCGAAAATGAAGTACAAAACATCAAATCCTTCTTACCACATTTTCAGATTCTCAAAATTGATCATTAAAGATCTTCCATTTCTCTAGCGAACGTCAGATGCGTTCGTTTTGGACAAAAGGTAAAAAAAACTGAAACATAAACAAACTAAGCAGTAATATTTCACCCTTATCATTCATGGGCAGTGAACTCTTCGAGTAAAATATTTAGAGTGACCTCCCCTGAATTGCTCTTTGCTTTCTGAAATGGGACGTCATGAAACTTTTTAAAGATATGGGTAAAAACCCATGTAAATTCAGTTACTGATAAAGTTTTTTTTTCCATTTTTTTTTTTCGTCCGTTTGATATCTCGAAATCTTTCAATAATTTTATTCTATTAGGCTAAATTAGGAACTAAGTACAACAGATACCTGAAGAAGGTCGACAGAAATGAAAGGCATATAATTCCTCATCTCAAAAATTGTCACAAATTCTTTTTCTTTCCCAAATTTATCCACTTTTCATCATTCCAACATATATATATATATATATATATATATATATATAGGCAGTATATCTTCATTCAAACATGTTTGGCTGAATAATCTGGACATATTACATCTATTTATTTTTATTTTAATCCTCTCAAATCCTCTGATCAACTTCTTAATGTTGATATTAAATTTATAACAAAACTAAATTTATTAATGAAGGCACCATAGTTTTTTATTTTATTTTCTCAAGTACTTTTAATCTCATCCATGATCATCTTCAAGGGTGAGTTGCTAAGACAAAAAATTAATATAACTGATAGTTGGGGGTTTTTTTGTTTTTTTTTTGTAAATACACATGAAACACATTCCGTTTCTGTTATGATTATTTTAAACATGCAATCTCTGGAATCAGGATTCTGAAGGTAATATCAATCAGCTAAGTGGCAAACTTTTACTCATATTAATTGTGTGTGTGTATATATATATATATATATAAGCTCGGATTGAGGAATCAGAGAGCCGAGTTCAAATTGCAGTTGAATCCATTACATTCACTTAGGTGCTAATACCCTTGAGAAAGGGTATGAATCCTCTTCTCCTCCCAGCTATGGGTAAATAGTTGGACAGACCAGGTTCTACAGCCTTGGATCACAAATGGCAACCTACTGCAGGAAAAAAACTGTCTCATCAGTAATATATTGAAAGATACATGATCGCCTAAGTGGGCATCATGCATGGCACATAACTGACTGACTGAACTATTTTGATCAGTTGCTTATTTTATTTTTAACACAAGAATTAGTACTTCAGTTGCTTAAAATTTTTATGCTTGTGTCTAACCAATAGAAAAGAAAGATGTAACTAAACTAGTAGAATTAGTACAATTCTTGAATACAAAATAAAATATTTAATAATTCTTCTTTGTTTTAATTTTTAGGTGTATTAATTACACAGTAGTGGAGTTGCTTTAGATAAGGTTGAATTTGAGTATAGCTGCTTAGACAAAAATCATGTCTTTATTTTGTATATATTTTTTCATTATAAATGTCTTGTTATTAAAAACATGTGCCACATGAATTTATACTCAGTGATCTTGTATTTGCATGTTGCATTCACTTTAATTAACAGTTCACTTTCTTTTATACTCATTTTCTTTCAATATATATATATAAAATGCATATTTACCTGTTTTATTATTACAGATCCAGAATTTATTTTCACAAATTCTAACAAACAAAAATTACCAAAATCCAAAAGATATATCTGTAGAGATCACCTGCACACCAATGTTCACTTTTTGTGCCAAAACTTGACTTAAAGCCGCCTGCAGTTTTGAACCAGTTGTGTTCCACTGCTCTTTCTTTTATCCAATTTATTCGACACTTTATTACTATACAAATAAATTTTATTAATGTTATTTACATTTTATTTATCTTATTTACTAACTATATAAGAAATATATTTGACATTCCACAAATAGTTTACAGTCCTCTTGCAGGCTTTGGTTTGATTACTGGTTAGTTCCATGATATATAGATAGTATCTACATGCTCCTATTCTGAAACAGGCCTGATCTTAAGTGTTTCTGATAAGTGATTTATTAACTCTCTGGTACAAAATAAACACCCCATTCTACTTGTCAATTTTTGGATTTTTTTCCCCAACTCTCACTTTTGAGCTTAATAGCATTTATTTCAACTAAGAGGATTTATTGTCTGGAGAGTGGAAGAAAAGAGAAAGTCACTACTTTTATCCCAAATATGAAATAAGGTGCATACAAAAATAAACAAAACTCAAGACGCCAATGTGAAATTTGAATGAAACAAACATTACATTGACATAAAAAGCAGTGAACAAAATACAAGTTACACAAAAATTTCCTTTTGTGTGCCATGTTATTATTAAAGGCAGATAACCAGTTCAAAATATAGAACTATTGACTCATAAAAAAGATATACAACTTGAACTTTCAATAAAAAAAAAAAAAGTTAAAAAATGGGTTAAAATAGGTTCAAAACACACATCCTTTCAAAAATGGTGAACTTAATTGAAAAATGACACAGTAGGTTTTGAAGATTTCACCAATGTCATTAGGACTTTTAACAATTTTTTTCTATAACACAGTTCAATTCACTTTGCCAGTTTCACTTTGGTTCTGCTTCATTTTTTTTCCATTTGCTTCTTCTGTAAGAAACAGCCTAGTTAATCCACTTGTGACAACCAAGATAACTTTTCCTTCTGGTCAAAATTTTTATGCCTTATCTTCTGTACCTTCTGAAATTTTGTCACCATCTTATTTCTTTGAAATTTTTACACCTTTTGAAATTTTCTGCTAACTCTTCTTATATAACCTTGAAACAGACTCCAGATCTATCTCAAAAGGTATATATCTATTTCAAATTTGAAAAACAAATCACAAACCATCCCCCTTAACTAAATTATTTTCAGTGGGTTTTTTTGAACCATTATAATTTTAGAAAATTTTATGTGTAACAGGACACTGACTCTCATTTAATGTTTAATTGCATGAAATTATGGGATGGTGATTTGTCAAGACTACTAATTGGATAATAATTATTAAAATTCTTAGGGTTAAGGATTGTTTTAAACAATAAAATGAATTTAAGAATGGTTCCAAGGAGAATCAAACTCAGAATTAACTAGTCAAGATTCTGTAAAACTGAGTTAACCCAAGGCTCCCCACATAGTCCATTTCCCACTGATACAAAAAAGACAGGATGAATGTGTTGTTCAAATATTTTGGTTTTGAGAGCATAAATTCTATATATGATTTACATTATACTATCTGTCTAAAATGTGTATATTCTTATAAGAAAAATGATAATTATTTTTTTCTCTTCAACCATTTTACTCTTCAGATGGAAATATTTTTGATTTTGTTAAAGCATTTTGCTTAATGACATTCATTTTGAGTTTATTTTATTTTTTGAAGTTTTGTTCCAGTTTAAAAAACTTGTTCTTAATTATTCACCCCACGATCATTCTATCAGATTTTTTTTTTTTTTTTTACCTCCCAACTCTATTTATTATCTTTTCTCACAGAAAATTATTCCCGTGGCAAAAGAAAGAATAGCACATTAGTTGGAATGTTATTAATTTTAAAACCAATGTAAAAAAAAGAAAATTCCCAGTCTTGTTAACCCATTAATTGCAAATTATAGGAACTTCCATTATTTCACTTCTTTGCCTCAAATTCAAATGACAGAAATTCCTATCACAGTAAATAAGTTAATTTTCAAAATGGGAGAGAAATATTTATATTAATTATTCGTTATTAATTACGTTAAAGTGCTGATCTTTTGCTACAAAAGGAACAAAAAAAAAAAACTTTAATGGGCATATTTTCCTTTTCTTTTCTCTTTCTTTTTATGTGCCATGTCCTTTCAGGGGGTAAGTGATCACAGCTCTCCACCTCACTATCTCTTGCAGCTCTCAACAAGTTCCTTCTTTCTACTTCCTCCTCCAGGCCACATTCTGTTATCTACTTGCTTAAGTCTGCCAGGTATGTCATGTGTTGTTTTCCCTTGTCTCTCTTTCCTTCTATTCAACCCTTGAGTATCAGATTCTCCAGGCCCTCCTTCCTCATTATGTGTCCCAAAAACTTGAGCTGCCTCTTCCTGATATTAAGTACAAGGCTCCTCCTTGTTAGCAAACTCTCTAAGACCTCATCATTGCTCACACACTCTGTCCATGATATCTGTAGTATCCTTCTGTAGAACCAAATCTCTGTCACCTTGAGTCTCTTCTTCATTTTTGAGAAAATTGTCCAACATTCACTGCCGTAAAGAAGGACAGATGTCATGTAACAGTTCAGTATTCTTTTCTTTGTTACCAAAGAAGTACTCTTGTCTCGCAGTTCTCTGCCCAGCTTTTGAAATGTGTCAATACGTTTATGGATCTCAGTGTCGCACTTACCGTCCTCTGTCAAGATGCTTCCCAAATATTTAAACTTCCGTGTCTGCTTGATTCTAGTGTTCCTGACCTGTAAATCACATTTCAGACTCATCCTTTTATACTGATGACCATGCACTATGTCTTCTTGTAGTTTATGCTTAGTCCTTTCTTCTCACTCTCCATCACTACCTTCTCACTAATTCTAAATTGAAAGCTAGAAATATAAATGACAAAATTATTTTTTTTAAACATTTTTTATTGAGTGCCAAGTTTTCAGAACTGCCAAGGGAATCTAATTCCTTTAATATTTCTTCTGTAAAAAGAAAAAAAAAAGAAAATATTTCATTTAAAATGTTATCATTTCAACTATCATAATTACAAATTAAAAGCGGCAACCAACAAACAATGAATATCTTCTAAGGCACCTTCTTATAGCAGTTAAAGTATGTAGAAAACAAACATTGGCAGTTTTTTCATATACTAAAATTCATACAATACAAAGAGCAAGAGCCACTGAAGGTAGAAAGTTACTGTTAAAATGAATGATGAATGAAGTGTGTGATATGAATGAAAGTAAAGCTGATAGAAAGTGGGGATAAGGAGGATAGATAATGATTGACTTTTTGACTTTGAAGAAGTTTAGATTGTTGCAATTAGCCAGCATGAAGATGCCAGCATCTGTTCCACAAAGTAACAGTTTTTAGAGTGAGGGACATTTTTCTCACATTTGGAATGTGAAAAAAAATGAAATTCAACTCCATAGATATAGCATGGTGTATTCTAGTCTCAAATGGTGAAACTAAAGAATGGTGCTCATCTGAATGATTGCTATAGAAATAGTCAGAGTGGCCTTGTGACATTGCATTTGTCAGGAAGAGATTGCAGAGTGGAGAATGTCTTCTACAAGACCTCAGAAGCAATTTTGAGTTTTCTCAAGGCTGTAAAGCAGCTCGGTGGGTCGGGGGCAGCAATACTCCATTTTTTGGGGGTTTTTTTGTTTGTCTAATCTAACTATTGTGAAGGTAAAACATGGGGGAAAAAATCGGGTATTTCCTGAAACAAAGGAACGAGCTAAGACTTTACCTTCTTCAGCCTCTTTAGCAATGGACTGTATATGAGATATGAGTTCTACTTTAGGTCTAGTTCATTGGTTGTTTTTGTCTAGCAACATATCAACCTCTATGAGTTGTAAGGTTTTAGATAGAAACTCAACTAGCAAGCAGATAACTGAGGTGAGTTAATGTCCTTGGCACAGTAGGGGCAACCAAGATAAATTAAGGGCTGTTGTCACAATTAGATTCAGTCCAATCTTGAAAAGACTTTAGAGTAAGATGTGTTGCAACCAACATCCAAACTCATGCCATGGAGAACAAAGATATTCATAGATGATAGCTGGCAACCTCACCTAACCTTAACATAACAGTAGTAATCTTGTAGAATGCAAACCTTGTCTGTTGTAAGCACCATGTTTATGTCATGTTATTTCATATTGTTACATTTAATAAAAATGGTGAACATATTTTGGTGCCCTTCTTTTCATTTCACTTTAGTACCATGTATTTATTCTTGTTTGAGAGCTCCTTGATGCAGGGAATCGTTATAACAACCAAACAGGGTTATTTAATGCCTAAATCTAAATATTTTTTTTACCCAGTTTTATTTTTGGAAATAATGATTTAGTGATACAAGTCTTACTAATTTACCCATATTTGGAGGGAGAAAAGGTGTATTCAGGCCTTTCCCAAGGGTATTTGTGCAAATCTAACAAGCCCAACTTGAAATGGAACTCAGCTCTTCAATTAAATATTCCAAACTATATTACAACATGTGGTATTCCCAAGCAGTCACCTATCTAGGTACTGACCAGACTCAGCATTGCTTAACCTCAGTGATTGTACAGGAACAGGTGTTTCAATGTAATTTGGCTGTAAGCCACTTTAGGTCCAGAGTGAAACTCAGATCCAGTAGATATTCAAAGCATGAAGTGTCATTGGGAGTCTAAGTGGAGAAAAGTCAGGATATGATCAGTGATGGTGAAATTATACTAGCTTGATTTTTGAAGGATTGAAAGTTACCCAAGCCAGTTCCCTTACCCCTCTTAAGGTGTTAGAGCAGTAGTAAGAATGAATGCCAGTAAGGAGAGATGGAATAAAAATCACATATTATATTCCCAATTCATGTCTTCTATGTAATATAAGAGGAAGAAACTTTACAACTTGTAAGCAAAGAAAATTTGTTTGCTTTTCAGAGCCCCAAAAATTATTATAAGGGGATGCTGAAAAATTTTCAAAATGACTCACTTCCCAAAATCTAAATAAATGACTACCATATATGCTTGTATTATTAGTTGACTTGCTCTATAGAGCAGACCCTGAAATTTTTGCATGGATTTTAACCCCCTCCAGAAAAAAATTGCCTGGGTATAATGCAATCAATCACTGAAAATGCATGATTTTTAACCTGTTAAAAAATACTTGCCTGTGTATAGAACACCCCACCCTATTTTTTGCATAAAAAAAATGATCATGAAAACTCACGGTATACCTGAGTAGATACGTTATCTGATATTTTAGAGCTTTTTTTTTAAGTTGTGTTGAGAATTTAACAGCACCTATTTTATAAATAAGATGCAACCACAATATAAATGCTAAGAAATAAATTACCAAAGTTTTTTTTTAAATTATATAAAAATCATATTTTGCTTATTGTTATTTTTTTCCACTTACTTTCTTTATGGATCCAAGAATCAATATCCTCAAAAAATTCTGTAAAACAAATTCAAGAAAAAATTTAAAAAAAGATAACATGCTACAAATTAATCTGCAAATTAATCTATAAAGAGACATAAAAATAGAACTCAGCAATGGTTTAAATGCATTTTTATATTTTGTCTAAAGGAATTTAAATTAAGACAGTTATTTTCAGCATCCTGAATCATATTTCCTTCATTCCAAATTGAGAATGTGATGAAAATGTGGATTTTTTTTTGTACAGCAAATTACAGGTCAGGGATACTAAAATCAAGCAGGTGCAGAAATTTAAATATCTGGAAAGTTTTCTAACAGGGGACAGAAAGTGTGACAATGAGATCCAAAGACGTATTGGAATAGCCAAAAGCATTCTAAAAGCTAAGCAAAGCATTAAGAGACAGAAAAATTTTGTTAGAATCAAAGAAAAGAGTACTGAACTGTTATGTGATATCTGTCCTGTATGGCAAGGAATGCTTGACAATCTCCACAAAGATGAAGAGGCTCAAAGCAACAGAAATGTGGTTCTATAGAGAGATGCCGAGGACACCATGGGCCAAACATGTGAGCAACAATGAGGTTTTAGAGAGGATGGAAACATACTTAACATCAGGAAGAGACACTTGAAATTCCTGGTACATGTAATGAGGGAAGAGGGATTGGAAAATATGTTACTCACAGGTCAGATAGAGGGAAAGAGGAAAGCAACATGTGAGAAATAACAAAAAGACAAAACTTATTAAGAGCAACAAGGGACGGGAAGATGTGGAGGGCCATGATCGCCTACGTCCTAAAGAGGCACAGCACATAAAATAAGATAATAACCTGAATTTAACAAAAAAAAAAAAAAGTTTTTCATGCAAAACTTAACTGTCTGATTTTTTATCAAATCTATTAAATGTTTTATTAAAAACTAGGAGCATGGCCCAGCGTTGCCTGTGCCTGATTCAAAAATCGTATGACTCATACAGCAATCGCTATAACTTGACTTTTTCTAAGCTCTATACTAAACATTAAGTCTGTTATGAAAAAAGAACTAAACAAAATCAACACAAAATGATCAGCTTTAAAAAAGGACTTGTAACCGAATGAAAAAAAAATGTTAACAATAAATACTTTTTCACACCCAACCCAGTTCTGCGGAATCAGAATCAACGTTGAGTTTAAGCAAGCGAATGAGCCAATTGGAGTAAAGTGCCATGCAGATTTAAATTTTTCCCATTTGTGATGAATGAAGCTATCGATTTTTTTTTGCATGTTAGCATGCTAGTTAACATTTGTGTCAGTCAGCTGTTGGCTCTCACACTGGCCAATAGAATCTTCCTGCCTATTCGTGGCAGCCAGCTATAGGCTCTCACTCTGGTCTGTAGAAAATGGCCACAAACTACATGAAAACTGCCGTAGAATCATGAAAAAAATCAATTATTTCCACTATCAATGGGAGTTAGGAAATGCAAAGTTGGTCTTGGCCTTCCCGCTAACTCGTGCATGTAAATTTTGGTGCAAATCCGTCGAAAATTGCAGCCGTACATTTGTTACACACGCACACACACATCCTGCCTTTTATAGATAGAGATGAATAATTATACTCAACAATATATATTTTGACTATAGGGTGACCAATGCTGATCTTTCAAAATGCAACATTAAAATTGAGACTTTTTTGATACAGTCACACCTTCACTAGGTGGGTCATGTTGCAAGGATGAGTGATGACAGAATGCCTAAGGACCTCATGTATAGCCAGCTTCACAGTGGACAAAGGACTGTTGGATAGCCATGGCTCAGCTATAAAAGAAAAATTAAAGAGTAACCACTCAGCTGTCTCTGTGCCTCATACTAACTTCGAGTGAATTGCCTTGGATAGAAATAACTGGAGATATTTGTGCCAGAGTTGATGCAGAAATTTTGAAATCAGTCGGATTGACCAAAGAAAAGCATCAGCAAATATCCCTTTTATGTCCCGAGATCCTCGCTGTTGCACAATATGTGAACTTGAATGCAGGTCACTAGCGGGACTTAAGTATCACATAAAACACAAATATAAAAACTGATTTAGGCTGTCAGATCCTCACACACCAGAATCAGCAGAAGAGTCCATCATATATGTGTACGTGTATGTGTATAGAGAGAGCAGTGTAGACAGAGTTCAACACCAAATGTTTTCATTTTTCAAGGCTTGAATGCAACCTTCATGCCCTAAAGTTTGCATGAAACAGACTGTTGTCATTCAATGTTAAACTATGTCCACACTGCTTATATCCAATATTTTTTAATTGGAAATTTACCAGGAACCACTTAACTGAGGAGAGAAGACGTAGATTCATACCTTTCCCAAGGGTATTTGTGCATAAGTGAATATAACAAACCCAATTGGAGTTGAAACTCAGCTCTTCAATTTACAATTCTGAACCATTATCCATTACACCACCCACACATCCAAGCTTACAGCACCCTGATATTCCCAAGTAGTCACCTATTTATGTACTGACCAGGCATAACATTGCTTAACTTCGATGATCGTATGGAATGGAAACCAGTGTTTCAATGTGATGTGGCTATAAACCAATACATAATGAAGAAAGAGAGCTTGGTGAATTTGATACTCACAGAACATATTGAAGGTAAGAGAGACAAAGGGAAATAGCAAGTAATCTAACAAGCTTGTATAAATGGACATCAGAATAGGGAGTGGGAGGGATAGTAACAGAGTAAACATTGCTTTGGGCTACAAAAAAGTTCTGGAGAGTCATAATTGTCTATATAATGAAGGGACATAAAAATATATTTATTTACAAGTAGACCATAAAATAGTGAAGTAGATTACTGATATTTTCATATATTTATTAAAAACATAAAACCTGATCAAATGTTCAAGATGCCTTGATGAAACAGCATAATTCTTTAAGATGTATGTTATCAATATGAAATGTATCAGCATGGAACTTGGACTTGTAAAATTGAGTTCAAATTCTGGGATAAACTGTTACCTTCACTTTCAGATAAATGAATTTGAGCATGACATCTCTTCCCCACTATGGGTTAAATAGAAGGGTAGATAAGACTCTCTAGCTTTGAGTGATAGCCAGAAAGAAAATTCTGAATTACAAACTGGCAACAGGAAACCACTCTATGGCTCCCAAGAACACACGGCAATTCACAGATAGTAAAGGAATCTGTGGATAGCCACTATTGCTTGAAAAAAAAAAAAATGTTTCTTTTTACTGAAATAATAGGGTTTTATAGAACGCCTCAGCTAGCAAGTAGACAAGTGAGGTGAGTTAATGCCCTTAGCACAGTTAGAGGATCAACCGAGATGAATTAGTGCCCTTAGCACAGTTAGAGAATTAGTCAAGACCTGAGGAGGGCTTGGAACAAGATGTGAATGCGACCAACGTCCAAACTCACACCAATGGTGTAACAAAGATATCCCTAGATGGTCACCAATGACCTCACATTAACATAAGTTAATAATCTTTTAAAGTACAACCATCACCTATTGTATTATATTATTATCATGTTTTATTGTTGCAGTTAATAAAAATTTTAATGGTATTTTGGTACCCTTCTTATATATATATATATATATATATATACATACATACATACACACACACACATACAGTAGCATCCATAATATAAGGAACGGAAACAACAAAGACACAAATATGTGTATTACTTAAAAAGTAATGCATGATTAGCAATGAAATTTTTACCAAATAAAGATTAGGGTGTAATGCATAAATATTATACAAATTTTAAAAAAATTTACATAATTATGCCTTTTTGTTCCCGCTATGGCATGTAATGTTTATAGTAGTAAATCTTATAGATTGATTAAAAAGATCCACTAATAGATGTGTGTGACACTATTTAGCTATGGCATTTAACTAATTAACCATAAAAAATTAAACAAGAAAATACTGAAAACAGAAAAGATACCCCGAGATTTTATTTTTACTTTAAAAAAAAAAAAAAAAGTTACTTTTAAAAAAAAAACTAAGAATTGGCATAAACAGTGGACTCACAAAAAGGACATATGCAAGCTTTTGACAATTGATTAAGGATGTTTGTAAAAGTACTGGTTAAAGAAAAAAACGAAAACAAGGTATCATCTTAAGTACCGGCAAGGCAAGGCCAGGCCACATGTTAGTTATAAAAATTTTGGTATGAGAAAATATTCCAAAGTATTTGTCAATACAGGGTAGAGAGAATTACCCTTGTTTTTTTTTCCAAAATATCATTTTAAGTGCTGGCAAGGCAAGGCCATATGTTAATTATAAAAATTTTGGCATGAGAAAATATCTCAAAAGAAATGCCAATTTGAAGATAAAGAGATTTATTTTTCTTTTCCGAGAAGGAAAGGGTTCCTGCAGATCTTGACAATTGATTGATGTTGTTTGTAGCACAGGTTGAGAAGACACAAAGAATATCAAAGATATCAGAGATTTTAAGAGACAGAGCCATGTGTTTTTCCATAAGAATTTTGGCCGGTGAGAACAAGAATTTTGTAAACAAAAAAATTCTAGTTTATAATTTTAATGAGGCCAGCTTAGCTACACCCACACGACTGAGACACCATTAGTCGAGTGGTAGCAATGATGATAGGCAGAGGTAATTTGATGAGAAAGACGGGGAAATTATTAACGGACACTGAAAGGATTTGGATGAGGCACCAATGTGAGGAGGAGGGAGTTTAGGAGGATAGCTATCCTGCAACCTCTCCTTACGGACAAAAGGATCCCTCGAAAAAATGGAAAGTGATTAATTTTCCAAAATGGGAAGTAATCAATTTTCCTGTCTGGACAACAAAAAAATCGGGATTTACCAAAAACCCAGGTTTTGGTCAGTGTCCATATAAGCAAGTGCCCTTGGGCAGTTTGCCAGTTGGAGTACAGTTAGATCGGTCTAGTGGTTCAAGTAGCAGGAACCAGAGCATTGCCTTGCAGAAGCTGACCGAGAGATTACACAACCTCCAACTTTGCCTATCCTACCAATAGCAAGTTATACTGATGAACAAAGCTACGCCAGCACATAAAAACTAACCAGTTGATTTAGAAGACCAGAACTTGCGTAAGAAGCATAAAAGTGTCACTCTCCGAAAAAAAATGGGTTGGGAGAAAAACTCACATTCCTGTATATAACAGACAGATAAAAGTTGATTTGTTCTTTCAAAATACTTGAACCTCTTGGGTTTTCCATTTGCTTCTTTTCTTTACACTTGTGCGATATCACCTCCAGTTTAGACTCATCTTACACTATGACACAATGCCTGATTGATCTCATCTACCCGAGATCAAAATCACAACATGGGTTGGTTAGACTTGAGATTGAAGTAGTTGCTTCAGTAACCAGACATTAGAAGTGAGCTGAGAACGACGGAACTCGTGTCAAACCAGTTGCATCTAGTGTGAAGCTGTTTGAAATTGATGAACTACCCCATTTGGTATCTTGACCAAAGGTTCCCGCCAAACAGCAACTAAGAGTCAAACCCAAAACACTGGTAGGAGAAATACTGCAGTTTTGCACCATGACTTGGAATTGGCCACGGGCCAATGACTCAGTGTTACATCAGACCCTGGACTGACCAGTGTCACGTGTGTGTGTGTGTGTGTGTGTGTGTGTGTGTGTGTGTGTGTGTGTGCAAGAGAGAGAAACAAATGAAAGAAAAATATAAAGAGAGAGATTTGCTGGTTTGATTTCAAGAGAATTTTTTTTAAAAATGAAAGCTGGGTTGGTATAAGATGAAAGAATTATGAATATGAATAAACTTCTATTTTATACTATTGTTCACCCAATACAAGAGATACAAGAGTCAATCAAAGTAGAAGGTTTCTGAATGAGATTGTTGTAAGTGTGAAATGGGCAGGATTGCAAATTATGAGGATATGTAGGATAAATAATGCAATAAATGTTAGAATTCAAGCATCATTATTGTTTTTTTCTATAATGCCAGAATTTGCTTTTATAAATTATAGTTTTTAAAGATACCAATATATTTCTTCAAAATTCCTACTTGTGAGACACATAAAATTCCTAATTGCGAGACACATAAAACACCTAGTATATACATTAGGATATACTAAGAATGGTGAATCAAAAATTGTGCAATACGAACATTATTGCATAGTGGGAACTGTTCCATAATCTCTTGTTAGAAGCATACTCCTATATGGCCGTGAATGTTGGACAAGCTTTTTACAGACTTGAAGTGAAAGAGATGTGGTTCTATAGACAAATGCCGAGAATGCCCTGGACTGAGCATGAGAGCAATGGGAAAGTTTTAAGGAAAATAGGAACAAGAAGGCTGAAATTTCTGGGCTATACAATGAGGAAAGAAAACTTGGAGAATTTAACACTCAGAGGACATGCTGCAGCCAAGAGATGCAAGGTGAAGCAGTGAGTGATCCACTTAACAAAACAAGGATTGTAACGGTCCAAAAGTTACCTAGAGCAAAAAAAAAAACAAAAAAAAAACAGGAAGTTGTGGAAAGCAGTGATCACTCACGTCATAAAAGATCATGCCATATAATAGAAGAAAATACCAAAGTTAGTAATATTTCTGAAATAATAATTCTTATGTTGGTCAGATAAGACATATCTCAAATTATGTACATAGTGGTATAGAAAATTTTCAATATGCTACATACTGTGATTGCTCTATTCAACAGAAATGCATGCATAGCTAATGTTTATTGATACCCAGTCAACTGAGTTGTGCTGTCGACTCGTGTTCAATTATTACACAAAACTCTTTAATGTCACACTGGAATGATTCAGCGATCTTTACTTTGGCTGATAAACTGGAGCAACTTCCCTACATGGAATTTTGTATGAGGCTTGGCAAGCCTGCTTCTAAGGCCCACAAAATAGTTCATCAGTTTTTTGGGGGAAATATTCCACATATTCCATGTTGAACACAGGCCTTTGTGAAGTATGTGTATTCTAAGGTTGGTTAAGTGCTGGTTAAAGGTGGTGTGCATTCAAAAGAACCAGTTGCCAGCAAAATATTAAAAATCAAAATGTTGAAAATCTTTATGAACTCATCCACAAAGACCATCACCAAACAATCCATCTTCTCCCCAACAAGATTTGAATCAATCTTGGAGTCTGGCAGGAGATTCTCACAGAAAACCTGTACATGCCTCAAACTGCTATTATTGACATACTGTTCTATTTATGTAATAAAAGTGATGTTAAGTATGAAAGAAATCCAATGTAGACAAGTAAAAATGATAAATTGTCATTTCGAAAAGTTCCCTGATGCCATATCTCCTCATCCTTAATAAAGAATAAAAGATAAAAAGAAGATTTCTCTTTTGTTTTGTTTATTTAATGTTATATCAACTCCTTATGGGTCACTTAATGCCAAAGTTTAATTTTCTTGGAAGCATTGAAGTAATAAATATACGATACGTTATTCTGCTTTCACAATTAAATACATGGTAGATGATACTCAGCTTTTATGCATATACATGTTTGTATAGACATAATTACTAGATGCAGTGATATCTGTGTTTTATGTTGTAGTTTTGTTGAAGTTATATTTTGGAATACAGCTTGATTTCTTTTGAAAATTGTAGATTATATGAATTAATGCCATGAAAGAATTCTTTCATTTGTTCAGTTGATTTTGTTTAGCAGCATATCAACATATATTGGTTACTTGATCTGAATATTTTGAACACAATTTTACATCTTCAGCAACAGATAGAATGTATTATTGGTCAGTTTGCTATAAAATGTATTGTTGGTAATTCTACGATAAAATGTATTGCTGGTCATTTTGCTTTGTGTATTGCTAGTCATTTTACTAGAAATATCTATTTTTAAACTTTCATAGAATTTTGTTTTTGTATGGGGGGGGGCTCACTATTTTTCCATAGCTGCAACCCTAACAGATGCTACCACCCCCGGGGTCAGGGTGGACCTGGAAACAACAACAATTAAGGGGTTGTTCCATACTTCTCAAAACCTCAAATCTCCTGATCAGAGGTCTTACTGCTGGATGTAATTTATCACCATAACCAAGACTGAATGAAGAGGTAATGGTAATAACTGTAGCAGAGAGTTAGCAAATAAACTGACATGAAATATATCAAATGAAGCAAATATTACTTACTCATTTGTGACATTAATTCATTTGCTCGATCATGCCAAGTATCTGAAAAAGAAAATATTCTATTTACTGATTTTAATCAAGGATGTATACATCGTTTTGTGTCAGTATGCAAATGTACATATGTATCTATCTTGTTATAAGTCGGCTTACCCCTCCCTGAGTTATTTAGTTAGTGTGACCATTATGTTCTGCCAATACCTCAGAAAAAATGGACTATTCTGTTTTGATTTGTTGAAAGACAGAAAAGGCATATCAGAGATATTATTTGATTTCAGTGAGAAAATGAAAGAAAGAATGGAAGATAGAAGTGTTTAAAGTCTGTTTCATTGAAATGTAAAAAGCTGTCAAGTTCACATCTTTTCATTTGTACCCTCTTACTTAAAATAACGACCAGCATTTATATTTATGATTGTTATTACAATATGTTGTTAAAGTTGTTAAGTGTTAAGCTCAAATATTTAATGATCTGATTGGAGAATTTCTACAGATATTTTATTATTGCAGAACTCACCATGAGCTTATTCAATCATTAACTGAAAAATTAAGATTCAACTAAAAATTAAAATGAGGAAACTGTTAAATTTTCTCATGTATTTCTATTGTTCATGAATGTCTGGCAAACTTGGAACTTCATGCTCACAGAAAAAATGAAGTGTGAAAAGAACGGTTTTTCCATTGACACCATTATTATTTTTACTGCCTTCAACCTTCAGTAATGTTTATTGTTTTAAAATGTGATAATTAGAATTGTAACAAAACCTAAACATATGATGAAAGTGAATTTATACATTTTCATTCTTGAGAATTTACAACAAATATATTAAACATTGTTAGATTATTTATTTACAAGAATAATTTTATATTTGCAACATTCTAAAAACTAATACAATTAAAAAACTGATGCAATGCAATATTTATCATTTACCAATTCATACATGTAATCAAGCTTAGACTCAAGGGTTTTAGTTATGTCCAAACTGTGGCACCATACATTAAAACATTTTCATTGATTATTTTTATAGACAAGTTTTACAAAGTTAATAGTAATAGAAAATATTGATGGATTTTTAAACTTTAATGTAATTTTGTTTTAATTCATAATTAATTATTAAATAAATAAACTGAAGCATACTTCAATAAACAAAAAGTTCAACAGAATGTCAGGGTGTTGTAATTCAATAAACAGAATTCTGTAAATAAAAAGCAAGTAAAAAAAAAAATTCCCTGCCTCACTGAAACCCTGAAACTACCCCCACATGGGTGCGATTCCTATTAGAGCATCCTTTGAGTAGAGGTTTATCCCTTGTTTGCTGTTTAGAAATGTTTCTGGTTCCTTCTAAAGTCTTCTCATTCTCTCTTACTCCAAGTAACTCCTTGTGTTTTAGTGGCATTTGTGCCTTGCTTGGGGTAAATTGATTACAAAAAAAGAAAAAAAAGTCTCCTACAGAGTAACATCACTTCTAGTGAAGATAGAAATGTATTTGAACACATTCAGTTGTATATAATATGCTGTTAAAATATGATTCATAAGTGTTCAGAGATGAGTATTAAGTTCTCTTTACATATAAAAACTGATCAGTGATAGAATTTTGGAAGCTAGATAGTTGCATGCCAGTCAAAAATTTCCCCATTTCTGCCAGTGATTGTGTGAATGTGAATAAGATCCCAAAGAATTTTTTTTTTTTTTTTTGCCTCTTGACAATACAAGGTCACATTGCAGTCAATACAAAGTACAAACAGTGAGCAGCCAGAAAGTTACAGTTATTGCCCAACCACCAGACAGCAACAATTTGACACTTTCACACCTCTGGTTGTTATCAAAATTGCAAATGTTAAAATGTCAATATTTTTCACCCATTTTTTTTTTTTTTATCGAAAGTTGAAGTTGCTGTTAACAATTAGATCAAAGGTAAACCAGAAATCTTTTTCACAGATGGAATGAAAAAGTGAAAAAAAAAATGTTTAGCACTAAATAGTGATTGTGTTGAAAAATAAACTTGAAATTTTTAATAAAAATAAATTTACTTCATTTTGATACCAGTTTTTGTATTTCATCTAAAACTTGTTTTATCAGAGTCTCTACTTATTGTTATATACCATACATATAAACACTAATGGGTATGTCTCAGTCCTGATAAATACATTGGACACTATTGTGAGTCAGGGTAATATGCTGTCTAAGTAATCCAACACTAGCAGTAGTTTACCTACTTCACATCACTAGCGAGTATTGTATTTTGTTGATGTTATAAAGATTACCATTTCATTTCCAACCTCCATTTTGGTTATTCCTCATTCAGTAACTTTTCTTAGGTTACAACACTTATCTATCAACTCCCATCACACTAAATGATGACTATGTTGAAAAATAGCCCTGTAATTGTGAGGAGAAATAAATTTCTTTCATTTTGATACCAGTTTCATTATTCTAGCTATTCTCGGAGACCTTACTAATGAATCAATTCTCATATATATGACACATAGAGAGGAATTTTTTTTTTTTTTGATCATCATTATCATTCATGTACCATCTCTCTTCATGATATAAGCGATTATAGCTCTCCACAACTTCCAGTCTCTTGTAGCTGAAATTAGTATTTGACGCTTTACCATCCCTCATCATCTTTATTCTGTTATTCATTTACGCAAACTCATTGGGTAAATTGCTTGCTGTTTTCCTCAACCCAGGCTTCTCTCAATATGTTCTGTGAATATTAAGTTTTCCAAGCTGTCCCTTATAATGTGTCAAATATTTTTTTACTTTATTTTGATTTTAAGTGTTTATTTCTTCTTCATATGAAAGGAAATTGTCCAACATTTCTCAATTGTTTTCCTTATATTTTGTGTTTTTTTTACTATCACAATGCTTCAGACTTCTTTTTATTCAGCCTTACTCAGGTATTTATTACATTCAGTTGTCAGCAAAGAATTTTAAACAAATCTCTATTTGATCAACAGGGCAATGTTGTTCTCTGTTCTTTTATGTCCAATATCTATATTTCTTTATTTTTTATTATTATTTTTTTTTTTTTTTTTTTAATTATTTTACCCCAAGCAAGGTGTTAAAGCCACTAAGACACAAGGGATGAAAGAAACTGAGAAAATTTTATTGATAAAGGACATTACAATAACAGGATTCCAAAAGACAGAAGATGCCAATTGACATTACATTTACACTTTTGAACATCATAGTTAACAGAAAAGCAAGAAGCTGAAAGAGTTCCACAGCTGAAAAATGCGAGAGAAGAAACTATTAGAATAGAATTTTTTTTAAATTATTTCACTCCAAGCAAGGCAATGAAGCCACTAAGATTCAAGGGGGGCTACTGAGTATGAAAGAATATAAGAAAAATATTATTAAGGAAAGAAAACGATAAAAATACAGGAATTAGAAAATCTTACTTATTATAAAATGCAGATTGTGTGTGTGTGTGTGTGTGTGTGTGTGTACATTTATATATTGGATCGGATTTCCTACATTTTTCAACAGATTTCAAACAAAACTTCACAGGACTACGTAAATTACCTTTGGTGGTGGTTCTGACAGCACCAAAAATTGAAAAAAAACACAATTGTTTTTGCATGAAATCAATTTGAAAACACAATTAAGAGGCATTAATGAAAGGGGGACAACTCATATCGAGTTATACTTATTATAAAACCCAGGTTGGTTGTTTGTGTGTGTGTGTGTGTTCCTTTATATATGTGATCGGATTTCCTACATTTTTCAACTGATTTCAACAAAACTTCACTTTTTTTTTGGCAGGTAGTGTTTCTTATTGTCTTGCACACATTTTTCTTTATTTTACATTCAGAATGCTTTTAAAAATTCCATTTACAAGACAATTGTTTATAATAAAATTCTATTCAATCAGTAGACTCATAACGATTGAAAACAATGTTTTTGTTTAAGTTTGGGTTTGATCAAAAAAAAAAAAAAAAAAAAAAAAAACTAATTAAGACATGTGTGTCCGACAACCTTAAACAATAATCTTTGTCAATTTTATTTTTCAGTCTTTATGATAGTCGATACTTGATCTATCTCTTACTGTTACATCCCCGGGCAACACCAGGCTCTACTGCTAGTAGAAGATAATGATTGATATTGCATAAGTTACATCTATCAATTTCAACTGTAAAATGATGTGATCTAGATGCCAATCTAGTACTACACTTAAATTTATGATGTCAAGGTGTCAAATGGAAATCTCATCAGAATAATTACCATGAAAATATTTAAAGACACAGGGAAGCAACATTACAGCAATGGAGAAGGGAAAATAATAATATGCAGTTTTTAAATTTGTAAAAAGAAATATATGGACATGGTGTTAAAAACAGATACAAGGAACAAAATGAGAACTGAAACTCAAAATGGGATACATTAAGAGAAGCTTTGGCAAAATCATCAAGAGCATCCCAATGGAAACTAAACAAAGAAAAAAAAGGAATGGATGACAGATGAAATTTTCAACATGATGAAAATGAAAAAAAAAAAAAACAATGCCAAGATAAGCACAGAATATAGGACACTACACAAAGAAATTAGGAACAAATGCAGGCAGGCTAAAGAGGAATGACTCAATGAAAAATGTGCAGAAACAGAAAGAATGAGTACCACAGGTAAAACAGATATGCATAAAAAAATGGACTAAGATAACAAAAATATGATCATCAACAGGATGCACAAAATCAAAGAACACAAAACTGACATTAAAGAAATAAAAAATATTCCAGAGATGGAATGAATAAATCAGAGAATTCACAAAAAACAAAACAGCAAGACCAGACAGAATTGTAATAGGGATGATAGCAGCCTTAGATGCGTTTGGCATTGACAGGATTACTGACATAAATGAAATAAACAATAGTAGCAATATAGTGGAAGACTTAAATAGCACTGCCTAAGAATACAGCTGCAAATGAATGTGAACTCCATCAGACAATCAGTCTAAGTCATATAAGAAAATTTTTCAATCATCCAAATTCTGATGAATAGAGCCCGCAGTAGAATTAGACCAGAAATAGGACAAGAACAGTGCAAGTCCATTAAAGACACTGGAACAAGGAATACAATGTTTATGCTCACAATGATATCAGAAAGAACATAACAAATGCAAAAGGATGTATACCTATTTTTTTATAGATTATGCAAAAATGTTTGATAAAGCACATCACAAAGAACTGTTGGAACAAAATACGACCACCTAAACTGTCACAGGATCAGTTCTTACATCAAGGACGGGTTTCCCTGTGACAGGGACACAAAAAATGAGGACCCTGATCTCCCATATATCTGTTTTCACATGGCACTCATCCATAGCACCACATTTGTCTTTGCCCTATATCACCCTCAGGATGAAGGGTTGGTAATCTTCAATCAAATGACAATATCCTCACTGAATATCCCTTGGTCAACGCTCACACATGCGGTGACTTCAATTTTCACCACAAAGAGTTGATTAGTCCACTAACAAAACTAATGAGGAAGGCAGATTTTGTACAAAATTCAATTCCAGACAAAATTCCAGTGGTTGTCCTTAAGAATACCAACCCAGAATTATCCCCAATTCTAGCAAAGTTATTTAACTGCAGCTTGAAAAAGAAATCTTTCCCAAGCATGTGGAAGATGACAAGCCTATGTCCAGTCTTCAAGAACGAGGACAACCGATCCTTCCTCTTCTAGTATAGACCCATTAGTCTCCTCAGTATCATCAGTAAGCTTTTTGAGGCTTTAAGCAACAAGAAGATCGTTGAGCACCTGGATAGGAACAACCTCTTGTGCAACGAGCAGTATGGGTTCAAATCAGCCCAATCTACTGCTGATGTCCTAATTATCATTACATAGAGAATTAGTTAGGCCCTTGACAACACAAACAATGCAAGGATTACCAACCAAATTATGGACAGAGGCAAAGTGGCTGTGCCAACTTATAAATGGTCCCGAGGTCATATCCTCCTCGGCAGACAAAGCAAAGCCCTTCGCCTTGATATTTGCCTCAGACTCAATGTTAGATGACAAAGACAATCCCCCACTCAACTTCCCACGTCTCATTGCACGCAATCTCAGTAACTCATTTCAGTGTGAGAAGTCTTTAGACTTATCAAAACCTTGATCACTCAGAATTATCCCCGATTCTAGCAAAGTTATTTAACCACTGTTTGAAGGAGAAATATTTCCCAAGCATGTAGAAGGTGGCAAGCATATGCTGGTTCTTCAAGAACATGGGCAACAGATCCTCCCTCCCCAGTATAGACCCATTAGTCTTCTCAGTATCATCAGTAAGCTTTTTAAGGCCTTAATCAAAAAGAAAATCATCAAGCAATAGGAACAATTGGATTTTGATCAGCCCAATCCACTGCTGATGTCCTAACTACCATTACACACAGCATTGGTGAGATCCTGGAAGTTACACATTCTCCAAGGATCATAGCATTAGATATCACAAAGGCTCTCCAGCTATGGAATTACTGGAAGGGTTTTCTCTATTATAAAATCTTTCCTAACAGGTAGATCCCTGAAGGTAGTTATTAACAACCAGTCCTCCAAGTCCCTTACAGCCATCCACCAGGAGTCACTTTGTGAACCAACTCTCTTTTGGATTTTGAGGCGGGATGTAGTGAGTCTCTCACTGCTCTGTCGCAACTACCATGGAAAGTGCTCAGATGAATTGCATCTTCTGATTCCACCAGTTCAGACCTTCACGACTAGGATCCCGCCCTGCCACTTACATAATAGCACATCACCCACGTTCCCTCCATATTCCACAGGTGAGAAGTTCCACTCAAACAGCTTCTTCCTGTGAACCATTACCCTGCAGAACAGACTCCCAAGTGGATGTTTCCCCGATCACTACAATCTTAACCTGTTTATATCTAGAGTCAGCCATTATCTTCCTCTTCTATCCAAATAAACTACCCCTTAATGTAACCTTCTACCCTGAGTGGACTCGAGCCTTGTACAGGGTGAACATTACTACAGTAAAAAAAAAAAAATGCTTGATAACATTGACATATTTAGGAAGAATATTAGAATATTCCAGAACTTATATTGGGTGCAATCTATCCTGCATATGGATAGAAAAGGAATTCAGTAAATATACAAAATAAAAAGGGGTGTAAGACAAGGATGTTTTCTCATACGACTTATTCAACCATATGCAGCAAGGTGATTCTGAGAGAATAAGAAGTCTTGCAAGGATTCATTATTGGCAGCCACAATCTTAATATTAGATATGCAGAAAACAGTGTTAATAAGAAGCATAGAAAGGAAACTACAAGAACCACTACAGAAGGTTGTGAAGGAAAGCAAGAAGAAAGGACTAAGTGTCAGTTGCAAGAAAACAGAATGCAAAAAGAACAGCCCAACATATAAATTAAAAATTAGTTACCAAAATCAAGTAAGTACAACAATTTAAATATCTAGGAAGCATTTTATAAAGACAGAAAATGTAACATCAAAATCCAAAGGTACATTGGAATAGTGAAAAATGCCTTCCAAAAGCTAAGCAAAGTATTAAGACACAGGAAAATTTCATTAGGAACAAAACAATACTGAATTTTTATGTAATATCATTCCTCCTATATGGCAGTGAATACTGGAAAATTTATTTACAGATGAAGAAGAGACTTGAAGCAACAAAAATGTGGTTCTACAGAAGGATGCTGAGAATACCATGAACCAAATATGCAAGCAACAATGAAGTTTCAGAGAAAATGGCAACAAGAATGAAAACTTATAATTATCATCAGGGAAAAAAACCATTGAAATTTCTAGGGAACATAATGTGGCAATGAAAAAGGCTTATTTTTTGTTGCTTTTGATGCCTCTTTATGGTTAAGCTTTTTCTTCCAGTTGTTTTTAGAAAATGTGGGAATACCAACAGTATATGACACAAAAAATGTGACCACATAACACTTTAGTGTATTTAATTACCTGCTCTTTAAATATAATCTGAATTTTTTATTGAATTATTTCTTTTTATAGGGCATTTTAAAATATATAAACTTGAGTTTCAAATAGATGAGAGTACTGATTGGCTGTCTGTTTAGCAACATAACTCCTATGGGTTATTTAATCCTGAAATATAAATATTTTCAACACAATTTTATGGCTTCAACTAAATATAGTTTGAACACAATTGTATGTCATCAACTTCAGATAAAATGTATTGTTGGTCATTTTACTATAAATAGGCACTTTTGGTCATTTCATTATAAATATATATTGTTGGTCATTTTTTTTTTATATAAAAAATGTATTGCTGGCATTTTTACTATAAAAATGTGTTTTTATACTTTCATAGTGTTTTAACCCTCATTTGGGTGTTCACTGTTTGCCCATAGCTAGGATCCTAACAGGTGCTACCACCCTGGGTCAGGGTAGACCTAGAAACAGCAGCAATTAAACCTCCAATCTCCCAATCAAAAGCCTTACTGCCGAATGAGAGGGCTGGAATAAAGGGGCTGGATGGAATGTTTTTTCAATTATTTTCAGTAATGAAACAATTTGACCTAAAATTCTCACAGGCTAAATTAAGGGTGAAAAGAAATTTCTTGAATATTTTATAAAAATGGTGGTTGAAATATCGATGTTCCCAATGGATTTTTCTCCAAAAAAGAACAATCGTTATGGCATGTCTATTTGAAACTGAAAGTTACTTGGCTAAAAAATGTGTCACCAATACAAAAATCTCTGGTTTAAGAAAAAGAAAATACTTCTAAGATTTTCTTTAATGTTATGGTTTTTGAAAAAAAAAATCATAACATTAACATCGTTCTGCTCAAAGACTATGAGATCATTGTGCAGGTAGTATAACAGTTAGTGGCCCAGAAAAATAAATGGGGAGCTGAATTCAAGTTGGTTGGTTGGTTGTTTTATGGCATATCAATCTCAGTGGTCATTTAATGCCAACACAATTTTTTAAATAGATTCATAGTGATAGTTTGGTAATAAAAAGGTGTGTATGTAAACATATACATTTTCAATTACTCATATTTTTCAGTACAATCCAACTTCTTTTAGGAAATTTACAATCTCAGATGGTTTTATTTTGTAAAAAGTTTTTTTTTTTTTAATTACTCACTTGGTAATATTTTATTCACACTAGATCAAAATCTACACATTCTAACAGTATACGTTTCACTGTAAATTTCTCTTGGCATGTAGTGCATATTGGGGATTCTGTGCCCTCTAGTAAATAATAGTGGGTGATGTAGGTGTGGTCTATGTGATGGCAGGTCAGCATGACTTGTTCTCTCCTATTTTTACATTCTGAGTTCCATTCTCCAATAGTGGGTTTAATGTTTTGGAGTTTGTTATTAATGAATGTATTCCAATGGTGCTGCTATTTTTTAATGATAATTTTCTTTGCAACCGTCTTATAATCGGAGTATGGAACCTTTGTGTTTGTTATTGCATTCTTCATGGCTTTTCAAATAACCTTGGGAAAGGTATAAACCCATCTCTTCCTCCCTAGATATGGGTTAAATAGACTGGGCTTCCTTACCCTGGTTAGCAGTCTAAAAGAAAGGAGAACAACTCTGAATTCAAGACTCATTTGTAGCCCTACAAGATGCATACTGTGCAACCAATGAAACAATTATGGTATTCACAATTAACTGTGTTGTGATGTTATAGATTATGAGCTCAACAGAGGTCAATTAAAAAGAATATGAAATCAACAACATTGGTAGGTAATAATGGGAGAGTGATTTCCCAAGGGCTCACTCAACCACTCTTTTTTCTCTGTCAACCACCACAGCATGCCAGTGATGAAGCATTTTGTCAAAATATCTGGGAATGGGAAAGATGAAAGGGAGATATGGATTCATGCCTTTCCAAGTAAAACTAACTGAATCAGAATTCAAACATGTTTTTGGAGTATTGTCCATGTTGCTGTTATGATCCTTTGACCCTTACTCAATATAATTTATGCATAAATGGATATTTGTATACTCACTCTCATCAGGTGGTGGTGTATCAATTTCTTCGAAAAATTCTACAGAAACAAGAAAAAAGTTCAAATGTAACCAGTGACAAAGACAGATCTCTGTTGTCATATCAGTGATGGTGAAATGTACATTCATACAATTACTATTGTGGGTTTTATTATTGGTCTGAGAACACAATAATTAAAAAAAATATACATGAAAGAGGATTAGCTAAGAAAGACCACAAGAATTGTTTCCCTGCGTGAAGTTTTACTTCTGTTTCTGTCCTAGCAGGTCATCAAATTTATGTGAGCAAAAAGGCAATATTTATACTGAGGACAACTTGTCATTTGTAATTAAGAGAAAAAGCCATAATAAATAAATATGAATGGCATTACCAAATAACATATTTCAAAATTTGATCACATTATATTTTGACATTTGTGTCATTTCCTTTAATTAATTCATTGACTATCATTTGGATGTCAAAAAACTACAGATATAGGAATATTAGCACATGGATAGCTTTTTGCCTTTTTATATGATTGATGTTATTACTACTTTTTACTGTATATGCAAATATATGATTTCTTTCTTTTTTTAGAAGTGCCAATCTGCAAGTTTTGGTTACATTAGCTTTCAGACTGCTATAAAACACAATATGTGAATTCTGCTCTTTATCTGAAGAGAAAAACTAACAGTTGAAACAATGAAATAAAAGAAACTTCAAAAAGAATCAGATTCTGCTATTCATTAACCAGGTGTTGTTATCTCCCTTAAATAGGTCACTTTTATGATGTATGGGTGGCTTGAAGCAGGCTTCTGAATGCATACAACGATTACAATATGTTCTCCATTATTTATATTCGGATTATTATCTTCATCTTTGTTGTTATCATTTGAAAATTTTAGCTATTGTGCCCTCCGGCCTTCTTCAGGAGTCTGTCAATCCAGGTAACCCTAAAAGGCAATTTCAAACAACCCTTTATTATTTAATAGTGGGTCGATTGTTCTATAGGATAAAGTCCTATATTTTACAACCAATAGGTGAAACTGAAGCACAAATAAGAAACCCCCACGCATAAATAGGATCCAAAATTAAATAAATGATTTCTGGAATTTGATAGGACAGTATAGTCACGTGCTATGCTTCCGACTACGTCCGTACGTTTGAACTCCAAATAAACTGGTCACCGGGTGCTATTCCGCGTAAACCAAAAAGCTTTCATTTGGAGCCAATCACGTGATCGGGATAACTATATATACACTGATTTCGGACACACAGCAAAAACCCAGCCAGCAGCAGGACGTGGATCACCCGTTGATGACAGGCGGTTGGATCTGTAAACACCCGACCAGAATTCTCTCCTTACCATTACAACACCTCCGTCAACGACGACTGAGCACCAGTCAAAGGAATATTTACACAACTCAAAGAAATATTCATTGCCGTGGAAAAAAAAGTCTGTGTCCGTTTCCTTATGGAACCACGGTAATCAGATTTCACTTAGCACACATATTCAGTCATCAGCCACACATACACTCCATTAAAATGTGCTTCAGACACACGCACATATATACACACTTTATATTGACCAAGGTATATGACTTCACGAACTACTCTTTTTAACAAATGAAAAATTTTGTCGAACATTTGAACTTTGATTTTTTTACCAACCAGAACAAACCCAATGTTTACCATGTAAAAAGCAAATGTTAATATGTACATAAATATATGATTATTTTAATTTGATTTTCCTTTTTGCCTATGTAAAAAATCATTTCTTCACGTTATGTTATATTTGTGAACACGACACACGGATTTTAATTTTTCACTTTTAATCCTGGTAGACTGGCTTTATACTTCTCATTCCGCAGAACATACCTACGGTTATTTTATCCCATGTAACAATAGCCAAGTGTAATAAAGCGCTGGTCCTGGAATTTAGTGACATAGTGATTAATTGTGAGTTCAATCCCTGGCTTGGGTAGTACAGAAGACGTAAACTCAGTGGTGCCGTATCTCCTACATTTACTGGAGTCTGAAGTTAACAGTTTCGTGACAGAAGTGTTAAATGACAAAACACGTCTCTGAATTGATGGCTCCACTTTTATTTACAACTACCTTTTTCCTCAGACCACAACTTGAGTGGAAAGCAGCACCAACATTCATCGTGTAATAAGCATATGAGTAATACAGTTCTTCTTTCTTATGCCGCATGAGATATAAGCAACATTATTAACTTACCGCAGTTTTTTGTTAAACGTTCACTTAAGGCCCACTTTCCAACCAGACATGTAATTATGGAAACTATGCGATCAACAACTGGGCGGTACTAAATAATATCCTTGTATACGGACAGTAGGACGAGAGCAATCCACTATTTTGATTTAATAAAGTGCTCAAAATTGTATGCTAATGTTGATTCACAAAAATGAGAGAAGTTTAACTCAAAGGAAGAGTCCGCTTAACTTGATTCAAGAACTTGGCGTCTTAAGACACAGCTCCTGCTGAATATACGATTTATAATTTACTTCACAGGTCAACACCAAATTTATTGTCTAAATTTTTTAGCTGATTTAGTACAATTTTGATGTGCTGAATCCAAAAATCCCATTGGTTCGGTTCAATCAGGTCAACTTTTATTGGCCACATGCTAATTTTTACGTTTAAATTTACATTATACCCATTAAAATATCTAAATATTTCACACAATAAAATTAATTATTATGTTAATTATAAACTTATTAATTTTAATCCATCAGAATTATTTTCATCCAAAGATAGCTACGTAAATATTAAAATACACCTTCAAAATATTTTTAAACATGCAATAAAGTGTTTAACATCTCAAAACATACCAAGTAAAAAACTGTACAATACAAAACAATAGAATACAAATTAGAAGGGCTGTTTTATTAGTTATTATAATTTAGGTATATCGCCAAAATATCGTACGGACATAACACGTGACTTTAGGACCAATTAGGAATAAGTAAAATTATATAATTCAGCAGCCAATTTCTCAGGAATAACAGTATAAAAATCACGACCTCAACAACAGTCTCTTAGATTCCACTAAGGTCTTGTTACTCTAACTGCTGATATTCAAAACATCATTCGCTCCCACACACACTATCAAGAAACCACTCAGCAGCATTGACCAAAGCTCAAGGGGATCGCTTCCAGAGACTGTTGCCGTCATCTACGGAAAGGGCTTCTATCTGATACTGATTACATTTCTACTATGTACGCATACACATACTATCTCACGCTAGTAACGACATTTCACATTTCTCACATACGTGTGCAATACAGTCTGTACTATACACTAGAACTCTTAACAAGAAGAAAAAATTTTTTATTCTTTCAATATATTTCAACCAACTGTATATTCTAGGTTGAAAAATTAATTTTATTTCTTAATATTACGTTATATATTTATACATGATTTTATTCTTTTAATAAATTTCGTGGGATTGTTTTAAAAGTCCAAATTACGAGCAGTCGCGTAACATTTAATATTACTGTATCAAATCCCGACACTCCTCTTTTTAACGATTAACTACGTAAAACCCGTGTAGAAGGATTCATATATGTAGAGGTATTTTCGCTTTAAACGATGCATTTTTTTTCTTATTTCTTGAAATAAACAAACTTTGAAGAGATACATGCGCCAATTTATGTTTAATTGGTATTTTTTATTTTACAGGTGGAGGAAATGACCTCGGCCAGAAGATCTTGCAAATATAAGTGTAGTATATAATATATTTTTAGCGATCTCGTGTAGGTACACGAGATCGCTAAAAAAGAGCATAGCATAATTAAAAACTTGACGAAAACAAAATTTTGTCGTCTAAATGTTTATGTTATTATTAAGAGGAAAGATCAAAGTATTTTGGGGGTATTTTTTTACATTTTTTAATCGTTCCTAGCACGTCCGAAATTTTCGTTAAAAATCTTGTATTTTTTTGAGTCAGCAGAATTAACAGATAATCGATCATGGCAACCATTTTTTTTTTTCATTTTATAAAAAAAGATGAAATTCTCAGTTTGAAATTCTTTTAAAAATCAATTATCATGCTTTCAAAACTTATTTTAAGAAAATCAGAAATTATGTTTATTTAAAATATTTTGAACAAAGGTTAACTTAGCTTCTGCGCCGAAAAGATGGAATTTGAAAATAAAACAAAGCAGGCCATAACCTTTCGCGTCACTTGACAGGTGATGAATGACATATTGACGGATTACGTGAGGATAATTTGTTCTACGGAAGGAGAAAAGTGAAATTATTTAGATTTAAGTGAACAAATTATTTAACTCGTTATTTTTAAGGAAAACTTTCAGCTCCCTAATTTGTTTTTTGTTTTGTTTTTAGTACTTAACTTTCATCTTTACGTTTACGATGCTTTGTGGAAATACATTCTAAAGAAATTAAAATAAGACTGTTAAGAGTGAGATTAAATTTCATAAGAAAGGTATCTAATTAATTTATAGGTACCTTTCTTACGAAATTTTATCAGAAGTGTACATAAAATACTATAATTCTATGTACATTTACTATATTTTACTGTGTTATTGGTATTTCCATTCATTTTATTATTAATTTTGATATTCCATTTATGGAAAAAAATGTCATAATTGAGATTAATATGAAAATAAGATCATATAAATTTCATAAGATGATACTGATACTTGTAGGTACCCTTCTCAGTTGAAATTGAAAAATCAAATTAACTTCTCCACACGTGTTTCGCAAAAGTAAAGGCCTTAACAGCGGAGAACAGTGCTTAACTCAAATAACGCAACTTAATTGTATTCTGGTTGGTCTTCCGTACAGCCCGATTCTTAACACAAAATTACATTTCTTAATTACTGCGGGTCTTCTGATAAGTCAAAACGATACAATTTACAACACGCTAAAAAGATCTATCTTATAAGGATACTTACGAAAGTGGGTGCGGCTTTAAACTAATTTTATAATATTTTAACAACTTAAATGTAAAAATCTATTATAGTTAAAGAAATAACAAATAATTTTATTGAAAATTAATTTTTTATCGAAAATTATTTTTTGATTTCATAAAATATTAGCCATATTCATAAAAGCAAATAAAAGTATTTGAAATTAAATAATATCTTTGTTTTATTGAGTTTTGTATGTTACAATTCAGAGCTGATTTTGAGGTGGGTGGGGCCAATTAAAAAAAAATGATTTGCATTCCTCAAAGCCCTGTGCTTTTAACTATTGTAATTACTAAAGTGGACTCGATCGAATTTCTAGAGTTTTCATAAAATTAGGTATTGGGGGGAGGGAGTAATAAATATAAATAAAATATTTCTGCCATGACTTTAATAAAAAAATATTTATAATAATTTTGATCATCTGAATAGTTTCTTAAAGTTTCATTAACACACGACAATTATTTCTATTTTTGAAAGATTTTCCAGATTAATATGTGTCATACAAAACAAAAATAAATAAATAAACGTGCTAAAAATTGTCTATGTTATTTTACTAGTTCTGGTGATACAAAGAGAAACAAAGATTTTTAAATCAAAATTCAGAATGTTCTAAAAAGAAGGAATTTTTTTTTTAAATAATTAAAATAAACTTTGATCTTTCCTCATAATAATAACAAACATTTAGATGATAAAATTTTGTTTTCGTCAAGTTTGGCGTCTTTTTCATCATGCTATGCTCTTTTTTTTTTTAGCGATCTCATGGAGGTACCTATGTAAATATAAGCCCGACGTATTCTGCTACATCTGCGGTGAATACATTATTGTTTCTAACAGGAATCTAGTCAGAAGTTTCATAAAATGTGCTTACTTCATTTTGGTATTTAAACTTTTTGACCAGGATAAAGATTGTGCGCCACACATGGTATGTATGACATCTACCGAGAATCTGCGTCGGTGGACCAAGGGAAAGAAGAGTTGTTTGAAGTTTGGAATCTTCATGTTTTGGAGGGAGCACTGACTGTTAATTTTGTGCTATTGATGTAACTGGAATCAACCGGAGTAGCTTAAAATATCCTGATCTTCAATCAGCACATCATCCTGTAGTTCATTGTGATGAAATTACAATACCGGTCTTTGGAGAACTTCCCGATATTTGTGAGGAAAATTTCTCCAGTATTCAAAAAGAAGTGGTTTTTGACGATGACGCTTCACATCTCTTTTCCCAAAAGGAAATAAATGATCAATCTCAGCAATCTCAGCTTCTCAAAGTCATCTGCCGAATTGTTGGCATCCAGATTGATGGAAAAGAAACTACTCTCTGACAGTGCTCGCATCACCTTCTACCGCAACAGGCATCAAGAGTACCTCCGTTTTTTTTTCTCTGAAGAGAAGGACTGTACAGATATTGCACAGCTTCTACGCAATATTGGAGTGATATAGTATTAACCCAAAGATTGGAGACTTTTCATTGATAGAAGCAAGCGATCACTGAAAGGTGTTCTGCTGCACAATGGCAACCAGTTTGTTTTTGTACTCCTTGTTCAATCAACTACACAGAAGGAGAAATATAAAGTAGTGAAGTATGTGCTGGAGAAAATTCATTATGATCAGTATAAGTGGTTTATTTTCGATGGTGAATTTTTTCTTTTTCCGGGTTCACCAAGTACCATGCTTTCTGTATATTTAGGATAGTATGGACACTGCTCAACATTACACGAAAAAGGACTGGGCTGTTCGAGAGGAACTGATGCCTTGTAGATCAACGAATGTCATCAATAAGCCTCTGGTGGATAGAGAAAGGAAACTTTTCCCACAGCTGCACACCAAGCTTGGCTTGATCAAACAGTTCACCAAAGCTCTGGACAAGGATGATGACTGCTTCACTTACTTGTACCAGGATTTTCCAGGATTGATGATGGATAAATTGAAAGCTGACATCTTTGGTGGCCTCAAATCAGTCAGCTCATCAGAGAACCAGAATTTGAAAACTCAATGCGCGAATTGGAACTGAAAGCATAGAAGGCTTTTGTTCAGTTCCTGAAGAAATTTCTTGGCAACAACAGGGCCAGGAACTACGTAGAACTTGTCAACAATATGCTGACTGCTTTCAGAAACCTCAGATGCAACATGAGCATCAAAATACATTATTTATTCTCACATATGGATCGATTTCCTGAGAATCTGTGATCAATAAGCGAAGAACAAGGGGAAAATTTCTATCAGATAGAGACCAGGTATCTAAGACGCTAGGATGCAGTCATGATGATTGATTAATGTTAGACTTTGACGAGAGACACACCTGTATTTTGAATAATGAATGACGTGACATGCAATTTACATGTACTTATTGATCAATGTATACTATTCGATTTATTGTAATCGGTGTTTTAACATTTAATCAATAGTGATAGAAAACATTTTTTTCTCTAAAAACTTATTTCGTATGAAAAATATTAACAGAATTCAAGTGATAATGTCACAAAAATGTAATTGATTTAGTCAGAAGATTGGATTTTTAAAAAATCAAACATGATCTGATTGAGAGAAACGGATGTCATTTTCGGATTCAGCCGTGAAAAATTGTCCTAAATCATTTGGAAAAACAGAAAACTTTTTTTTTTTTTTGTTGCTCAGGGAATTTACGAATATATGTCTTACAATTTTTGATAACATTCACTGAAGCTTACCCGGATCAACAGGTTAATTTTATATTTATTATGTTTTGATTTATTCTGTCTTCAAGATTTTTTATGAAAATAGAAACACACCAAAAATATTAAGAATTAGGTTAAATTTCTTGCATCTAATTTTGACAGAATTTTCCCCTCAGAAAAGTTCCATTAATAATTTAACAGACAAAAATAAGCAATCAACTCGTTACATTAGCTGTCAACAGACGGTATAACATCATCTTACAAAAGAATAAATTCTGTCACTTGATTGATACCTGAATATAAAAATCTCCAAATGCAATACTTTATTTTATTTTAAATGGTTAATGTTTTTAACTATATTTGGAAGATTAAAACTTGCTTTAAACAGTTCAAGGTTACTAAAGATGTACGTTTTGATCTTGACTGAGAAAAATAATTTCAGACTATAGTGTAAATGAAATTTTATTTTCATATTGTCAAAATTCCAGTTCCTCCATTTTTGTCTGCCGTCTTTACTTGTTACATTAAAATTAAACCTGTGTGAACTCAAAAGGGAATGCTGTTAATAACGAAAGAAAAATATTTAAGTAGCTATGATTATTTCTTTCTTTTTAAGTCCTTTTAGTGAAAAAATAAAGATGTACATACGCATTTGTGTATAAAGATCTTGTGCGTAACTTGTCCATGCCTCTGCATCAAATCCAATGTCCAATGTGGCCATGTTCCTAAAAATATGAATAAAAAGAAACGGAAACATCCCTCAAATTGTGCGTGTACTTTAAATGGCACAAGTCATTTAAAGTCATTCACGCATAACACAGAGATAAAATAATAACGCTACATACCCGCATTCAAAGTCACGCACAGAGAGTGCATGATGGACGGGAAATCAACTCGTCTTTTTGTAATGTAAAAATGCTTTAAAGATGTCTTATCACCCATGTTCTTTTTCCTTCTTATTTTCATTTTTGCTTTTTATATCCAATATGATTCTTAAGGTCATTTTGACTTGTTTGTTTTAAGAAAATACTTTATGCATGAACAATTTCACAATTTCTTAATTTCATTTTTTATATTCTTCCTCATTTTTAAGTTTGTCTTTTTTTTCTTTTTTTTTTGTTTACACAGAAAATCCTCGATGTTATCGAAATGAATAATTTTGCAACTACATGCTACATAGCTGCAAAATTGCTATAGCAACTTATTTCAAAAATACACATTTTCAAAATTTAAGTTGACATGTTTTTAAGCTAAAAATTTTAACCATCCAAAGGGAGTTACCTCCCTTGCATTAAAGATAAACTTTTCTTTTTTCCGAACAACAAAAATATCGAGACACAAAAAATATTCAATCTTAAGATAAATAAAAACAAAATTGAGCATACGAGAAGGGAGCAAGAATGAAGAAAAACAGAAATGTTGGATCACATCTGGCCTGGGAGACAAAGATTGTCAGACGAAAGAAGTTTTAGTTAACTAACAACAGTAACACAAGACGTTCAAAAACTTCACGTCTGTATGGAACAGATGAAGTCGTATTAAATTAAATTATGAAAATTATACAGAATCCTTGTTAAATCAATCGTGCTATACAATAACAGTATCTGGGACTTGTCTAAGACCGAATAAGCCAAGAAGAAACATTTCAATAGAAAACAAGTGAGAAGATTTCTCGGCGTAGAATTATAAAAAAAAAACAAAAACAAAAAAAACAACATTATCACAAACCATCAAAAGATCTAGATGTAGAATGTTGGGTTAAATCTTAGATAAGATAATGATATCCCTTCAAATAAAGGGATTAAATTTTATTTTTTAAAGTAAATCAGATAAGGAGAAATACAGAAGCAAGCCAAAAACAACGTGTGCAGTGAGGTTAAAAAAATGATCTTGACAAGCTTCCTATTTCTTATCGTACATTAAAGATCACACATGTACTAAAAGACTGAAAATGGAAACAGAAGACGACCTTGAAGAATTTCAAAGAGTAACCAAGAACAGAAAATGGCTTGACTCAATGGAATAATCTTAATTGACTAAAATAGTGATACAATCTCATCACAATATTTATACAAGATCAACATAGGCTTCATTAAACAATCGGATCACCATAATCGAACTATATTTATTACAATTAATTTATCTATCGTTAATAATAATTAGGTTGAGTGAATATTAATTGTTTATTGAAGGCGGACCAAGTAAAAAATAGATGTTAAATTGTTAGTTCTGAAGTTTTCTTTGAGCTCATTCTTCGCCATTGTAATTATTCAAATTGTTGGCTTCCTACCAAAACGCACTGTGTGCCATGTAAACGGTCATCAATCACAGAAAAGCATAGAAAATAATGGTTGTGAGATATGTGATACTCAAAGTTTTTTTGTTCTACCCAGGGTATAGGCGATTATAAGAACATTTGCCGATACATATGCAGTGTTAATAATTCCTATGCTAACACTGTTTTTATTTTTACACACACACACATATATATATATATATATATATGTGTGTGTGTGTGTGTGTGTGTGTGTGTGTGTGTCTTCTGAAGATTACGTTGTGCATAAAACTCAGAGTCGTGCTACCGCCGAAAAAAAAAATTATTAATATATAATTCATCTCTGTTATATTACACATCAAGCACTATTTGATTAACACCAGCACTCAATGTGAGATTGTGTGCGAGTAAAAAGTTCATTTTATATACAGGGTGCGGCAGAAATGTACCCTCCACACATAATGGTAAGACATTATCAAAATTAAAACATCACTGACATTTGCTTAAATGTCTCATTTATTTTCACCAAAGTGTGACAAAAGGACTAAAATGTAAAAAAAAATAAAATTCGTTTGAATACCTTATATTTTAACTTAAATCTTTTTTGCAAACTATAATATAATGTATTTCATCAATATTTTTATACGTACAACCTTATTTTTAGAAAATCATTCCCAACATTCATCAAGAATTAAATTTTCTGTATCACTAATATTTGTATAAATGGGAATTTCTTTTAATTTTTAAAAGCAGGAATAATATTTAAGAAATACTACAAAAACGATTGAAATCATTATCCAGATTTTAGTGAAATTTCGAAAATATTGAATGCTGAATTGAAATCATATAAAAACTACAATAAATAAAATGTTTATCTGACTAATGATGTTTAACATCCTCTAAAATAAAATAAAATTAAGCCTGTTTTTTTTAACTCAGTTTAAAAACGTAGACTTTAAATTAAAAATACATTATGAAAGCCGTTCATTTTAGTTAATATTTTAAATAACTTACGAGATAATTCCGTTGTTCTGGCATAAATATTTCTAATCAATTTTTTTTTCTTCGATTTTAAACCGCCAAGATAACTTTTTTTGTTCTATTTCAAGTGTACAACGCTCTTTTTTTCCCCGTTTATAAGAACGCTATTCCAAGGGAGATAAGTCAATTAGAATAATTTTTCTCCTGTAGGAATTAATTCCCTTTACTTATAAAATTTATTAATTTCTGCCATTTCAAGTTTCTAGGATGCATTAATTTCCCCAAAATAAATAGATGAAATTGACGTTCTAGGATATTTAGGAGCAAAGATTCAAAATTAATATGCTCAATTTAGTCCAGTACAGCATAATTTGTTTGTTTTTTTATTTTACTTTCTTTAATGAAACACAGCTAATTACTAATATTTTTCCTCTTAATTTCAGTTGGTTTTAATCACAACAGTATGTCACCAGAATATTTTCAAAGGGTTGATAAGTCGTAAAAAACGAATCAATCAAATCAAATTATTGGGTATGGCACTAAAATAAGTTTAGTAAAAGTAAATATCATGATAATGGTCAAATATAAAGTATAAATATTATTAAATAATCTTTAATTTTCATATGTATATTTTCTCAAGTGCCATAAAATACTACACCCTTCTTCTATATGCCATATCCCTTCAGGACGTGGACGATCATGTCTCTCCACAACTTATCTTTTTTGCTCTATGCAATATTTTTCCCATTACTGTCTCTCCAATTTGCCATTCTATCATCCATTTACACAAGCTTGTTAAATGGAAGCTGTGTACGATATACCTGTCTTCAATATGTCATGTGAGTACCAAATTCTCCAAGCCATCCTTCTTAAATATATCTCTTGGAAATTCCAACCCTCTCCTTCTGATTTTTACAACAAGTTTCCTTTTTCTTCCCATTTTCCTTGTTGCTTATGTAATCTATTGATAGTATTTTCAGCATCTTTCTGTAGAAAAACATCCCTGTTGCCTCAAGTCTCCTCTTCATATGTGAGGAAATTGTTCAGCATTTACAGCCATTTTTTAAATTATTTCACCCTAAACAAGGCAATAAAGCCACTACGATGCAAGGGGTTACTGACTGTGAAAGAATATGAGAAAAAGAAAAATATTATTAAGGAGAGACAAAATAAAAGAACATAAATTAAGGAAATAATGATTGACATTTTGTTTAAGTTTTTAAAAATTAAAGTTGATTAGAAAGCAAGTAAACAGAAGAGAGTTCCACAAGTGAGAAGTGTGAGAGAAGAAACTGTTAGAATACAACTTACATCTAGCCATTTCAGTTGTAAAATATAATAAGATTAATATTATATAGCAATTCAGTACTCTTGTATATATAATTAATTTTCCGTACCAAATACAAGTGCCAACATAAATAAATAATTTCCTCCATTCCCCACATCCACCTCATGTCTATTATTTTTCAAGCAATTTTCTCTATGGCATGATTTAGTTCTAGGAATCAAACCTGTGTCAGAAAAGGTACTCTCACATTTATTTGAACCAACATGTTAATTTTAAAAGTCAAAGAATTCCCATCTGCATGGTTATTCCATATGGCACATATGTTTAGTACAAAAGAATAGTGTATAATTAGTAGGAGACAATCATAGCAGCAAATGTGATTTGCTGAAAAACTGGCTTAACTGAAAGTATTAAATTGAATATTCACTTTGTCAAATGGTTCACTTCAGTGAAAAAAAAATCAAAAGTTAGAAAATCAAAGGAAAATAACTTTTATATCTGAATAGTGCTTTTTTACATTACGTATCCTTTACAAATTACATCTATTATTTTGCTTATTGTTAATTTATGATGATGAATACCTTTTTCTCCATAAATCAAGGGTTCTCAACCAAGAGGGAATCCCCCCCCCCCGGGAAGATTTCAGAGTTTCCAGGTGGCAAAGGAAAATATTTTACTTTTCTTGTTTTTTATTTACAGAATGTTGTTTATTGAATATTTCAGCATTCTACTGAAGTTTATGTTTATTGAAGTATACTTCATGTTAATTAATAATTAATTATGAATTAAAACAAATTACTGTACATGAATTCAAGTTTTAAAAATCCATCAACATTTTCTATTGGTATTAAATTTGTAAAACTCCTCTATAAAAATAATCTATATAAATGTATGTGTACTAATATGGAAAAGAATGAAGATCTTCAATAACATATGCATATTATTTGGAGTACATCTTTTGAGTTGGACAATGAATCCTCTTGACAGCCAAGGAAGGCAATCCATCTAGGAGAAGGAAAACCTTGATTATAGACCTTTGCTGCCTTGTTGTCATATCTAACAAAACATGGAAATGGCTATAGAAGTAAATGCAGACAGAAAACTCAGAGTGAAGCCCCAAAGGCGGTTGGTTGTCAACACTGATAACTTTCTGGCAATTTCTACAGGCAAGCCATCT